CAAGAGGTGGAAGCAATGAACAGTGTTTGCCATGATGATCCTGTCGAGGGCGAATTGAAAGACATGAAAAGAGTGAAAAATGGGAAGAAGCAAAAGAAAAGGAAGCGCTCTCCAAAAACCAAGAGTTTGGTCTCCAAGGTAGATTTCGTCCTGACTGGTTTATTAGCTGATGGCGTGTGGTTTGACAAACCTTTCTTCGATCATGCTGAAAACATGTTCAGAAAGAAACTTGCCGATGACCTGACCCAGAAGGCCCCTGAAACTGAACTGGCGGCTGAGCAGCCAGCATTAGTGTCCTGGTCAGAAGAAGCTGTCCCAGGTGTTCATAAGCCAAGGAAGAACCTAGCAGCCTTGCACTGCACCCATGCCAGTCTGATTGCTTGTCACCATGTCATCCAGGATGTCTGGGTCAACAAGTTCAACTTTGATGAGGCAGAGAAGGTGTTTGTTGAAAGGTCTCAATCTTTTGTTCATCCACACTTCCTAGATCTTCCATCGGTACGATGGAACAGTGACTATGGTGATGTTGATCAAAGAACTCCAGATGAAGGGTATATAACAGCTCTATCTACTCCTGCAACCCCTGCTACACCATGCCTGTCAACAGATGTTGTGGTTCCTTCTGGTGCCTCTTTCGTTACCAGTTTGCCCAGTCCTGCACACCAGACAATAAATGGCAAGCCTCCGATATTGAGCTTGCAGGCATTGATTTCGGAGGTGTGGCTGGAGAAACCTATTTATGATGATGCTGAGAAATGCTTCTACGAGAACATGACTGATGGGCATCCTCCAGGGAAGGTGAGGCCACAAGAGCGCAGCCGTCCAGAAGCCTCAAAGAGCAGCCGAAAGGACAAGAAGGGCCGCAGTCCCGGGAAACGAATGAATTCCCGACCTGTGGAGTTCACCACCAACCCTTCCCTTCCTAAAGATGCCGAGCACCCTCCGCCTACCTGGTATTTCCTGCACAAGGACAGTGAGCATTTGTGGCTTAGTAAACCCACATACGACAGTGCTGAATCACGATACTATGCATCTGAGGCCCTGAAAATGTCGAGCAGACAAGATAATGCAAGGGTTCCAGAAGTCACGCTAGCAAAACCATCTCGACCGGCTTCTCGTGCCACAAGCCTGCCTGCATCAGAAACTAAGTAGGAAAAGCTTATTCTGGGGTAACACTCAAACTCGGAAAATTGATGGTTCAGGATTGAGCTGTAATAATTGGCATATGTAGAAGGCAATGTGGGTCTGTAGTGCCAAACACAACACTGGCGCTATAGACATAACCTCCAGTCATTGAGCCAAAGGTCCTGTTTAACCTTAATCAGGCTTCACTTTACCAGCAGGGTTTTTGAAGAGGGCCCTCTTTTTTTTTTTTTTTTTAAGGTAGCTCACCGTTATGATGAGTTGTAATTAATCCTCAAACACCCCTAGGAGGTCGGTAGTTAAGTTATTGTCATTTTATAGCTGGAGCCAGACAAGTTCGATAACTTGCTCAAGATCACACAGAACTGAAGTCAAAGGAGGAGGGGTTAGAACTCTTGACTTGGGAGTTCTGATTCCCAGTCCTGTGCTCAGGCCACCCATTTCTTGCACAGAGCCTTTAATCCCAAGGTGCTTTACCAGTAGAAAGGTGGAGGGGATGACCGGATCGTCTAAACATTGCTCTGGGGGTGGTACAGACCACTTAGCCCCTCATCATTCTGAGGTTCATAAACTGAGTTTTAGGCAGGTTTAGCAGTAGCTTTTTTTTGGATTAGACCTTTAGAATGGATATCGTGTTTGCGGTGCATGAGTATTAAAGATCCCATTGCATTCTTCACAAGAGAAGGAATTTGTTCCGGTGGCTTTGACCAACATTTTCCTAGAGGTTGCTGTATGTAGGCTTTCCACTGGCTTTCCCTGAGAAATGGATGTTTTTTTGTGTCACTGTATATATTCCGTTTGTAGAGGAGCTTTGGGATCCTTCAGGATGAAAGATGCCATTTGACTGTAAAATAGGCCCAAAGTTTCAATCTGGAGACCACAGGTGCTTCCTCTGAACAGTTGAGGGAAGGTAATCTGATAAGCCATTTTGTCTAAAAATGGGTGTTTAATCTGGGCATGTAAGGGAAGGTGAACTAGATTATAACAAATCCAATGAACAAACATTGGAGCTGGGAGAGGAGATGCATTTTTAAAATGTAGAAAATATCCATAGTTATCGGCCCTGCGATTAGTCTAATTAGAACAGTCTAATTTTGTTTAAAGGCTGGAAATCTTTGAAAGCTGCCTGTCTTGGGTGAGTACAGAACAGCATTTTTGTTCCACTGTACATGAAACAGTGCAGTTTGTATTTTGATTTTACATAATTGCATTCTACTTGCTGAACCCAAAACTTCTCTAACGTTCAGAGGCCATATTACCTTCTGAGCTGTAGCTCTTCAGTGGATTTGTTTAAAGGCCAGTACTTAAGTGCTCTTTTGTAGCCCAGCAATAAATAAATAAATAATTTTCACAGAGACTAGATCTTCCTTTCTCCCCCTTTGAGGAGACACTTGTGACCCTTGAGTTTGAATAGCATTCTCTGTGGCCAGATGGAGTAAGAATCTGTACCACACTCTCTCCCCATGAAATGAAGATTGCATCAGTACAAAATGTACAGTGTGATTGATATGGCCTGTGCATAATTAGGATTGTGTGTGATAAACTGGCTGCATGTACCCTTGTGTATATGGACAGCATTTCTGGCAGTCTCTTGCAGGAATGATGTGAACATTGGGAAGGGGTTACAGAATTTGGAGATGGTTTTGTAGCAGTTTCTCTTGATCCTTCTCTGCTTTTCTGAATGGGTCGGTGTTGATACTGAGATGTTTTTTACAACCGGATAGTACAAAGCATTACTTAGTTAACCAGTGTTGAGATCTGGAGGTGTTTTTTTGGAGGATTTGTAGGGCTTGCAAAGGTCTAGGCTGATTCTTGAAGTTATGGTCCTTGCCTTAGGGCATTTGAGTGGTGTAAACTTTTCCTAAAAGATCTTTAAATGTCCTTTACATAAGCTGATATTCCTTAGTTGCTATGTTCCTGCTTACACTTCTCACAACAGGGCCTTGTAATTGCTTCATTGAGATGCTCCTTTCTTGTCTCTTCTTACCCCCTCAAACTGACCTTTTGTCCTAGGCTCCTGTACTGTGCCCTTGCTTTGAAATAACTGTATGTCCTCCATGTTAGGTTCTTGTAATAGTCCCATCCCGCAATACACCATGAAGTTAAATAGCCTTGGGAGCTGTTTAACTGCATGCCCATGTTAAGTTAGCCCCTTTGCCTCTGAATTCATTGTTACCACATACGAAGTAGTAGGTTGGCCTACTTTCATAGCCATTTTAGAACCCCTGTGCATTTTAGAACATCCTCCTTATCCCCCCACATGGGCAGAATCTCGTGATTTCTGACTAGCACAATGGGAAGGATCTCTCCCCAACGGTGTAATAGTTTACTTTCTAAATGACTGCAGGGTCTTCTGAAAGTACACCCCTGCAGGTCCATCTTCCACTCCTCCGTATGCCATCTTCTGAAATACTTTTTTTGTGGTTCTTGATTTGAAAGGAGACACTCTTCTAGTACTTTTGTTTTGTTTGTTTGTCATGCCACGTACTATTATGGAGTTATCCAGGAGGACTGGGTAATCTCGTTCTGCAGCACACTCAGTGATGCATTGCCCATCTACTCCTGGGGGCATTCTGTGCCCCAAAAATGAAAAAAATATGCACATAATATTTTAAAATTCTACAAATTTTATTTGTCAAAATAACACTGTACATAATCAGGCCACTTTCAATTATTTTGGTCATTTATATCAAAATACCTGTCAGCAAGCATATGTATAACAATATGGACACTCCCAAAAATTTCCCCAGGAGTAGAGAGTTAAAGAAATCCCTATGACAACCCAGTTCCTGTTTCTCTGCCCCCTTCCCCCCGCACACACTCAGAACCCAGCCGGGGGGGCCAGACACCCATAACCCCTCCCCCCTTGCCCAGACACCCCTCCCCCACCAAAACCCAGGGATCCAAAGGGAGAAACAGCCTGATGCTTGATCCCAGGCTTGCATGGAGTTTCCTGCGTGCCACCCTCTTCTTCCCTCAGAGCAGGCTGGGAACTGCAGCTGCCAGGAACCCTCTAGCTTCCTCCCCCAGTGGTGTCTTCTATGTGCAAGCTGGGCTCTGCTGAATCTAGTGGTGACTAGCAGCACTGCAGCCCATTTCTGTGGTCGAATAGCAATTCTGCGTGCACAGTGTTAATTTCTGAAAAATTCTGCATTGCGCAGTGGCGCAGAATTCCCCCAGAAGTAAAGATAGCTTGGTTGGAGCAGCACAGTTCTGATTCAGGTGTGGGCAGGGCTGAAATCTGTTTAAGATAGTATGCAATAGAACTGTGTGCTCAACTTGCTCCCCATTACTGTTTGAACACTGCTTCCTAACATAGTTGTAATGTGAGTAAAACACTGTGTCCTCCACTCTGTGTTGAGCTAAAAGCTATGTTAAGGAGTTTAGTGCTATTAGTTACTAAGGTTGGCTAGGCATATTAAAAAAAAAAAAAAAGTCTCTGTACATGAGCCAAAACAGGTGCGATTCTGTCCATTTTTTAAACCATTGTATTAATTGACTTGTGTGGATTGTTAAGTGTCTGACATTTTGATCTATATATCCTGGTGGAGCTGGCATTTATACAGGGGAAGATGCAGACTGTCCAACATGTACAGCCCCCGCTTCATGCTGTGTTGCTAAATGCAGGTCAGATCAGGCAGACAGGTGGATGGATGATTAGAATGCCTTGCTTTCTTAATAGGATCCCATTTACTTAAAGCTTTTCACCAGAGTGGAAGGAAGATAAAGGGCAGAAAGCTACAATGCAGTTCTGTGGGGGAGGAAGGAGGGAAATAAGTGTTCTTGCTGATGAACCTGATACAGGCAGCTAACCTTAAATATTCCTAGGTGCTCATATTGTCTCTTCCTATTTGCAGAAAAATGGCAGCTGATTTTCTTATGCATGAGAAGATCTGGTTTGATAAATTCAAGTATGACGATGCTGAGAAGAGATACTATGAACAGATGAATGGGCCAGTTGCCAGTCCTTCATGCCAACAGGTAATGCATATCCTCAAGTAGTAAGGAAGTAGTTTTTGCAGTGTGCTAGAGTCTAAGGGTCTCCCAGTACTGATAGCAGGTGAAAGAATGATCCTTCCCACCTGTATGTATTTGTTAAGGTCTGTTACAAATTGGTCTCCAGACTAGGAGAATTAGTAAGATATCCTCTCTTGGAGACTCAGGTCCTGTCACCAAATTCCCTGTTTGGTTTTCAAAATGTTTTGTCCTGTGGACCACAAATAATTGCTTCAAACCCCTCCAGTGTTCCACAGGCTATAGTGTGAGAACCACAGTGTTCAAAATACAGGGTGTAGCTGAAGCTGATTTGCCCATGTACAAGATGAGATTCAACTTTGTGAATAGGGTGAAATAGAAATGGGGGAAAACCTGGGTTATAGTTTGCAAGAATTGGTCTTTTCTTAATCCTTCAGGTTACTTGTGCCCTACCTGTGGCAGGGCCACAAATAGGGTCTGTGACCTATCAGCGAGCAATTTTATATCCCATTCACAAGATCTGCGAACAAATGTTGAGGTAATATGGGAGGATGGGAAGTTATGCTAAGGACTGACCTACATGAACTATTACGATATCTAGCAATTTCCTATTTTTCCAGGGAGCCAGTGTTCAGGAGTGTACAAGTTGCTTTTTTGCCAGGCACATCCTAGAGACCGAGTGCATGACGGGAGTATAGTGGTGCTAACACTCCAGAGAGATTGTGACCCACATTCCCTTTCTGGCTTCCCTGTAATGTTAACAGGAGGCCGCAGGGAAGGCTGTATATATTACTTGTCTGCACCAGAGCAGTGGAGGCTATGGTGGGGGAAGAGCAGGGAAAGCAAACGCCAGTTCCAACATAAAGTACTCAGGGTGGCTCACACTTACATTCCTGAGGTATCTGCACCCCCACAACTGGAGTAAGATTGTAGGGAGCAGTGATGCTCCCATCCTAAAATGTAAAGGATGGTTAACTGCATATGCATTTAATTCCATAGAAAGCAGCTTGAAATCTTACATGACTGTTTTGCAAGTGGCAGGGCCGAGCTTTTAAACAACGGTCAATGCTTTAGTAGCTTTTAGGCATGTTCTGCTGAATTTCTGCTGGCTATGCTACCATAGCGGTAGCACAAAGCTCTGTACAACATTTATTTGAAGGGCAGATGTTCCTACTGTAGGTCTACAAAAATTGGAAGTTGTAAGTAAAACATTAAAGCAGATTCTAAAGCACAACTGTGCTCTGTGTAGTAAAAAGGGGAATAATTAGAATATCACATGACACACACAACTTTCAGTGAAGAAGGTAATTTTACCTGCCAGATGTGGCCTGAAACCCAACTGACTGAAACTTAGAGTTGTTTATTACAACACTCCCTTCCTAGTAAGGTTTAGGAGTCTTCAGTAAACTTTTTTTTAATTTGCATCAAATTTGGAAGTGCCATGCTAGTGTGGGATTATTTGGGGCTGATTTGGTGCCCAGTGTGAAATGAATTTTGGTGCTCAGTCCAGTTTCCAGTGGACAGGAGTCTGTCACAGAAACCACAGCTATAATTGGTGCCCTTGTTGGTAGTCTCAGAGAGCCAAGGAGTACTTGGACCCTGGAAACTGAACTCTCGCCCCAGGAGGTGTGGACCCTCCCGTTTGGGGATGTGGCACATAAATGTGGAAAAGCTAGGGCTGCCACAGCCTGGACCACACCCACTCTTGGAATAGAAGACTTCTCACCAGCATGAAATTCACACAGTCTTTTAAGGAAATTAGCTACCTAACCAGAGCTCCAAGGGCACACTAAAGTGATCCTGATAACCTGCCTGAGTGATGGCTATGCCAACCTGTCACGGGACCAGAGTGGGGAGAAGCAAAATATTGAGGTCTCAAAACTCTGCAACTGGACACTGTTCTGGAGGCGTAGCATGATGTGACCAATACTAAGCTGCAGTCCTTGCACTCCATGCCTCCAGCTGATGCTTCTTGAAAAGCTGCCTCCAATACTCACTTAATCATTGCTAAAAAAAAATCCAATCTTCCCCATCTTAGCTGCCCACAGCAATTTCTCATGTCTCATTTTACAAAACATCTTGGTTCTTTCTGCGCTGTTTGCAGGAGAACGGAGCCAGCACGATCCTACGCGACATTGCCAGAGCCAGGGAGAATATCCAGAAATCGCTGGCCGGAGTGAGTACCCAAGCTCTCTCACCAGCTGGCTACCTGCAGTCCATTTTTAGCTATGGCGCATCTCACAGATCTCTTCCACTATGACTGATTCCATAGATTGTGTGGCTTCTTATTTTAAGTTAGAGGAGATTGACAAGGTGTGCAGTGCTGTGTACCACCAGACTAGCTCCATTTTATCAAGAACACCCTCTATTACCAGAAATGCATGCTGTGTAACTGCTTACCTTAGTACAATGGCTTTAAAATTACAGGCTAATTGCACTGGGGCTAAAATTCAGTGGGGTCTTCAAAGAGCTATGCATTTCTTTCTTTTCTCCCAGCGGAATGTTTGAGTTGGTTCCAATGATCTTTAGCTAACGTAACCAATTTAACCATAGTTAAAATACCCCTGCTGAGCAGCACAGGGATAGCACGTATCTGTCAGCAGGGGCATGTTTGTACACTGGGGTACACTGAACTACCACCTTCTCTTTCCTGTTGGCTTTCAGTTAGGGTATGTGCAAAGAAATGGCATCTTCCATCTACTGTTTCTAGGGTACTCAGGTTGGCTACTAGTTTTAACGCTGAACACTACTATAATAGATTGCTACTACCTCCTGCTGGAGCATTTTTTGCTGCTGCTACATCATCAGTTTGTCACAAAGCTGGCTGTATAATCATGGTGATCGTTCAGAGAGGAATTTTGATCCCATATTAAGAGGTGTTGTGCTGACTTATCGCGAGGAGGAGGGATAGTGACCAGGTTCTAATCCAAGATATGCCTCCTGTTTTCTCATCTGTAAAATGGAGGTGATAGTGTCAACTACTCACAGGAAGGTCGTGAGGCCAAATCAATATTTGTAAAACATTGAGCTCCTCAGATGGAAGATGCTTAACAAGTGCAAAATTAGAACTATTAGGTGTCTGGCCCTATGTACTGATGGCCCAGTAATTCCTCCTGAGGAAGGAACCTAGCTATTGACTTGGAATGCAAAATATGCCTGTTACAAGATGATTAGTGACCCAAATATCTTGGGTAGGTAAACAGGAATGAATGGAACTTCTTTTCCCTTGGTCCTCTCCTTGGGCCTGCTGTTTTTGTGGTCAAGTTCAGCTGTATAGTTCTGTGTTAGAATAACTGAGATCACTTGCAGGGGTAAAGCCGCTCAGCACAGAATTGGTCACTTGGAATTTGATGCGAGGACAGCAGGCAAACTGGGAGAAAAAACAAGAGAAAAGGATGAGATTTGCTTTCTAAATTGTTCCTGAAAGTATTTTATAAGTTTTGGAAGTGAAGAGGGGAAACAACGGACGTTTTAAAAACCTACTCAGGAGGGTAGTGCTGGGAGTCAATTGTTTGACCATTGATTGAAAGGCTGCTGCTGACTGCTTTTCTTGTGATGCTGCAATTGCTAACGGCATGGGCAAGGTGGGAAATCTGCATTGAAATAACCTGCAAATTTATAATCTTCCGTAATCTGCTTGGGTTTTCAATATAAATCTAAGATGGAAGACTTGAATAAGGTCTAAACATCCTGGACTATGGAGAGTTCAGCCAACAATCAAAGACAAGCTTTGAAAGCTTTTCAGATAGTAATAGAAAATGGAGTGGACTTTGAAGTTGCTTCCTAATGGAGATCAGGCTCAACGTTGATTGTCAATCCTTTTTTTCTCTTTCCCTCCGTGCCCCCAGCTCGTAATAAGAACGAGGGCCTGGTGAGAGTGGGCAGGGAGAGGAGGGAGAATCTTGAATCCAAATTTGCCTGACAAATGGAGCTTGCAACTCTGTTCGGAAGGCAGGTTCTCTGTTTGGTGAATGTCCTCTGGTTTCCCAGAGGGCAACCTCAGCCTGATGAACTTCACTCGTGCTGGAATGGGAGTCCTGTTACAGAAGGCTATTTTATCTAATTGAGGCTTGGATGGGAGGGCGTAGAGGCATCTAGGGTTGGGGCAGCCAAGCACTGTAGCCTCAGAGGTGGGGGAGTCAGGGCAAGAGGGCTAGTGAAGCCAAGGCAGCATCAGAACAAAAGTCTTCTATGAAGATAGTGTTGTGGTCTCGGTGGCAAAGAAGCCAAATAACTTGTTTGTATATTGACTTTCTCATATGCTGGGGCTTTCTGTAGTCTCAAGTCCTGTGTTGAAATTTCAACATGTTTGAGGTTTTTGAGTGTGAGAGATTCTAGGGACCTTACAATCCAGGCATCTGAAGAAGTGGGTTTTCTACCCACGAAAGCCCACGCCCAAATAAATCTGCCAGTCTTCAAGGTGCCACCGGACTCCCCGTTGTTTCAACAAAAGTGAGTAGGCAGAAAGTGCTATCAAATGCAGTTAATCTCTGGGAGGATTCCCAAAGGGATGGATTTTAAATCTCAGAATTGTGCAGTGGAGACTCTAAATGTGAAATACATGTAGGACACCAGATTGATCTCAATTAATTATCGTGCTTGAATTTGCAGTTAACTGCTTGAAGTGGGAAAACTCATTGCAGCCTTAACTAGGTAGCTGTTAAGGTGGCTTCATAATAACATAGCAAACCCACAACCATTGTGTCACCCTCGAGATATGTGCACTGCTTACCCAAGCACATGCATGGTATTAATGACCTCTCCGTCCCTCCTTGTTCATGATCTCTTGTTGATCTTGCCTTATATTGGCCTTGTTAGCTCTTTGTGGCAGACACTGCAATCTTAATTTTTCTTGTAAAGCACCATGTGCATCTGTAGTGCAACATAATAAATAATTGCTAGCATCATCTGTGCTGGTGCACAGGTAGGCAGTAAGCGCGGTTGGCTTCTGCTCTTAGACGTGCGGGAAGAGAGACAGGTCTGAAATGTCAAATTCCCTAGCTTTCCGTTTCTAAAGGATCCATATAAATTATGGACAGTAACAATACAAGCACCAAAAGTATCTGTACAGAATAGCATAAGTGTGTTACTTTTGCTTTATAGCCTGATACATGGATTTTGTTCTCAGACCTCACAAAACAAACTGGTTTACACTAAATCTGTAGAATGACTTTGGAGGCCTGTTGGTTTTTGTGCTTAATATCCAGGATTTTGGTGGTGGGAAAGAGAGTCCAAGTATGGGAACTTCAGCTTGATAACCTGAAGATCGAGAGAACTGTTCTCTGGCTCTGGGTAGAGATGGGAAGATGGAAGAATTTCATTTTTCTAGCTCTTTCCTGGTTGCATTTCATGCATCTATTGCAAATAGCAATACTGCAGTTTGACAGTCAGTATCTAGAAATGTATAAATATTGTGCAGTGGAAGGAATCTGAGGTAGTGGTTTGCATCTCCCAAAAAGAGATTTAAAAACAAAAAAAGATGCCAGAAACATTTATTTGCACATACCTTTCATTCTGCTTTGCATGGACAAGTCTGCATTTATAATCCCTCATTTCAGCCCATCTGTTTGATACTAACACTTTCTTATGTACCTTTAATTTGTACACAAAGAACAGCCTTACAGCTGGAACGCATTGAATCATCAACATCGTGTGTAAAATCAAAGGATTTTTTATTTATTTTGTGATGTGACTATAAAGTATATTGGAAGTCCAGAGACTAATGGAGGCTTTGGTGCACTTGCCGTGCCAATGTGGGAGGTTGTATACATGTTCCCAGTATTCACACGTGCCCGGGGGATCAGTGACCGCTAGTGTCTTCAAATACACTCTGTTTTGCAAACCCTATTTGCCAAAGAGACAATGGAGGGGGCTTTATTATTTGTATTACAGTGGTGTCTAGAGGGCCGAATGAGATCAGGACAACTATGGGCTAAACAGTCTACAGACGTACAGTATGATGCAATCCCAGCCCTGAACAACTTTGTCTAAATAGTCAAGACAAAGGTGTTGGAGTTCTCAGTTTTACAGATGGGAAACTGAGGCACAGAGGTGAAGCAACTTGCCCGAGGGGACACAGGAATCCTGCCAGAGCAGGGAATTGAACCCAGAGTCTGTCCATACTGTAACCACAAAATCATTGTTTGTAGTTAAGACATTGGACTAGGACTTAAAAGTTCTGGGTTCTATTCCCTGCTCTCCCTCAGACTTAGGCAAGTCACTTAACCTCTCTGTACGTGCATTCCCCATCTGTAAAATGGGATTACTTAACACCCTCTTTTGAGGTAGGATGAGGATGCATTTTAGAAATGTTTGACGTATCCAGCTAATAGTGTTGAGTGTTGTAGGCAACTCTATACAGCTGGAATAGGCTGCTCTGACGTGTGTGTAAGCCTGACTCTGTTCTTGCAGGCCAAAAACATGATCAAACCTTCCAGAGCATCTGCTCTGACATAGTAGTAAATTAAGAAGACCACCTGGGTGTTAATGTGCATGAGGGTTTACCCCTAAATGGGTTGGGACTGCCTTCTTGGAAACTGTAGGAAAAAGCATGCACATTAAGTTCAATGACATCTGTTTATAAACCTGCTTATAAGACCTAACATGCTGTTAATTAATTAGATGGTGATCCACTGGGGAAGTGGATATCCTTTCTCCACCCCCACCCAAAAAAAAAAAGTGGACGTGTTTTGTTTACAGTTGTGGGGGTTGGGTCAGCTCCCTACACTAGTGTGATCAAAATTTCTTCACTCTGGGTTGGGCTGGGCTCATATAAAGTGAACCTACAGTTCTGGATTTTAAACTATCCCAATTTCCTTTCTTCTCTGCTAATTGGTGCTCCTTTATCTGATTTGAAGTGTGTTTACAGAGACAGAATTTTAGACCCCTCCCAATCCATTCCCATAATTCATCCCCCCTCAATTTTTAATGAATTATTAGGTATCTCCGAATAATATCTGGAAGCAAAATGCATATAGTGTAACTGCTGTCTAGGCCTTCCCCATCTAATTCCCCTTGATCACAACTTTTTTCACTCTTACTGTACTCAGGTTAGTGTAGTGATAACTGTTCGTAAGCGGTCAGTTTTGTGTTGCATTGAAGACAGGCAGGGTAGATTCCTGTATTATGTATGTTCTTCTCAGCGTGATACTGAGTGGGTCATTTGTTGTGAGATCCACAGTGCTGTTTTGGAAAGGAAGATCTAAGTTTCTGTGTATTCTGCCATGTATGCATTTGCATTCTGTTTCCATTGCATTTCGATTCTGCAGCTGCTTGAGGCTAGAAAGAAAGTTCTGCACTGCCCCTGCATTTTGTAACACAGGGATGTCTTCTTCAGCTTGGTGCTAGGTTTATCATTTTAAACTCTTAATTACAAAAGTATATTCTACTACAAATATCTGTAAGCTGGAAAGGGTCAGATGGTTGAGGCCTGTGGTAAAGCTACAGGACTAGGTTCTACATTCCTCGCTTCATAACTAGGGAAAACTCTCATTAATTTTTTACATGCCTACTTGAGGCTTCTCCAGGCAGGCTGAGATTTCTGCCTTGTGGGATTTTACTAGGCAGACTGCTGTGCTGCTCTTAGCACTCTTAATTCAATGTACTGTTAAAGCTAAACATTTAACCCCATTGAAATCAGGAACTGAAAACTAAGAGTCCCATACAAAAGATATCCACGTTTGTAAATATTACAGATAACATGGTCAAGTGACCAAGTCAGTGATGCTGTGGGAACCTTAATCTTTGAATGTCTAGTTTTTTTGCATTTGAATTCTCATCCTTAATAGAATCCATTAGTTTGTTTTTGCCAAGAGGAAATCCAATGCAATCTTTTAATCAAAAGTAAGAGGGAAAACACTTGACTGCACATAGGAATAAATGTACTTGACCTTGCGTCTCTGAAAACCTGGAACGTCCCCGTTTTCAGAGCCTGTCCATCAGTCTTTCTGCTCCTGATCTTTGTAACCCTGCAGCGTCTATATTGGCGCTTTTCAGTGCTAAAACTTTTATCGCTCAGAGGGGTGTTTTTTCACACCCCTGAACAACAAAAGTTTTAGAGCTGAAAGTGGCAGTCTAGAGACTGCCTAAAATGTTAAATCCTCATCCTTGCCTAATCTTTGTTTTCTTGTGCCTGTGACATGGGTGGAGGGGAAGAAAATGGGTTTAAATAGTATATGGAAGAGACTCCAGTTCCTTATTCACTCATTTAATTAAACCAGCTATATTTTGTTCTCAGACCTGTTGGTGTAAATAGAGCAGAAAGAGTTCTAACTGCTGACGGTTTCAATGTGTTTTAGCCTTGCAAACCTCGTGGTTTACTGAGCTGGGATAGCAGTGGCCTTGTAAAGTGAGTCTGTACAAGGAAATGACCTGGTGCTCACTCTGGTTGTCCTGTGTTTGCTAGCAGTTAGTTTTCAACACCAATTTGGGAAGGTGGGAGGAAGCCATTGCTGATTTTTGTCATGTGAGCTATTTGCTTAGTGTAGACGCTGCTGCTTTATTCTCTGTAGGAGAGAAATGAGTGTGGTCTACTGGATTTTGCTTCTGGCTAAGAGCTAGGAACTCCTGAGTTAATTCTGACTGCCACTGATTCAGTCTGACTTTAAGGAAGTTAGTTAATTTATCTGGGTATGTCTATATGGCATTCAGGAGGTGTGATTTCAGTACATATAAGCGTATCTGAGCTAGCTTGCTAAAAATGGCAGTGCTACAGGCTAGCTGTCAGAGTATAATCCCACCTGGGACCCAGGGTACGTACTCAGGCGGCTAGCCCATGCTGCCGTGCTTTCACTGCTGTTCTTCATGAGCAAGCATGTGTATGCCTGCATATGCTTCAGTCATGCCTTCTGATTGCTGTGTTGATGTATCCCCTGTGTCTTGGTTTCCCGTCTGTAAAATGGGGATACTTACCTGTCATACCAGAGTGCTAAGAGTTAATTAGTTGATTTTTACAATGCTTTGACAATAAAAAATGCCACATAATATAATGATATTTAGCACTTATATAGTGCACTGTCTTTTATTATTTTGCAGATAGGGAAATTGGCCCAAATCACACTGCAAGTCAAGGTCAGGGCTGGTGATAGAATCCAGACCTCTTGATTCTTAGTCCTGTCACCAAGCGATTGTACCCTCCTGGGAAGTACTAGGCTGTGTAACTAGAAGTTGGCAATATTAATACCTGGCATATAAACTGCATTTTATCCCAGCAGTTCAAGCCAAGGCTGACTAGGAAGCTTTAATATAGTGCTGTTTTCCTCCCCATCCACTTGACTCTTAGCAGGTCGGTGTTTTTGGATGTGGATTCTGTGAAGATATGGCTCACTGTCCTGATGAAGCTGAATGGTTTTCCTGCATGCATATGTGATGCCTGTATTTGAATGCCCCACCCTAGCATGAGTGAAGTGCTTACATTCTTTTTCATATTATACTTGTCCTGAATCCCCAAACCTTTCACCCTTTCCAGCGCAAGACCATTCTGGATAGCCCCCAAGAAGCCCCACCTGCCCAATCCAAGAGAAAGTCAGGTCGCCTGACTGTAAGTCCTGTTGGGGATGGGGGACAGCTAACAAGTGGTTGTCTGTCTTTTGTGAATAAACTGGAGGAAGAAACAGCCCCGTTTGGACAAAAACTTCATGCTGAAGTGTATGGGCCCCAGGCGATTTGATGAATTCTTGCAATGCATTTGCCACCAATTCTATGCTGTCCTTAGGCAGACTGTCAGTATTCAGAGTTAAAATATAGGTCTTAATGTAAATAATAGGTATAGCTCCATATATTCTATTATATCATATCTCATAGAACTGGAAGGGACCTTGAAAGGTCATCGAGTCCAGCCCCCTGCCTTCACTAGCAGGACCAAGTACTGATTTTGCCCCAGCTCCCTAAGTGGCCCCCTCAAGGATTGAATTCACAATCCTGGGTTTAGCAGGCCAATGCTCAAACCACTGAGCTATCCCTGCCCCCTCTTAAGGACTCAATAGGTAGCCCTCCCACCTCTGAGCTAAAGGCCCTGGATTGCAGATCTGCACCTATATGTCAGCACCCGTGCCTATCACGAGTGGTTTGCCCTTTGGATGAGACTTGAGTTTTTGGCATCTTGTGCCACCTGGAAGCCACACTCCAGGGGTCCAGGAGCGGGGGGTTTCTTCTAAGATCTGCCCGTTAACCCAAAGCCTTGTGTCAGAACAGTAATCTTTAGCTGAGGCCTGAATCTGGTGTTCTCCAAAGTGTGCTCCTCTTATAGCTGGAAGGGGTTGTATGAAAGATAGACGATGCTCTTTTCTTCCTGCTCCCTTCACAGCAGTCCCAGCCTTTACTGACCCTCACCAAGCTTGGGAGCCAACCTATAGCCGGGCAGCCACAAGACTGGTTTGTGTAACTTGGGGGGGGGGGGAAACAATCTGCAGGAGTATCCCTGGTGTCCTGGACACAAGACCATGGGGAGCTAATGCAGAGCAGAACACATAGTTCTCATGTTACCTGAACCCCGGGACACTATCTAATTCACTGCAGAAAATATAAGAATGGCCATACTAGGTCAGACCAATGGTCCGTCTAGGCCAATATCCTGTCTTCCGCCAGTGGCCAATGACAGATGCTTTAAAGGGAATGAACAGAGCGGGGACACTCATCGGGTGACCCATCTCCTGTGGTCCAGTCCCAGCATCTGGCAGTCAAGAGGCTTAGGGATCCCCAGAGCATGGGATTGCATCCCTGACCATTTTGGCTAATAGCCATTGATGGACCTATCCTCCATGAATTTATCTAGTTCTTTTTTGAACCCGGTTATGGTTTTGGCCTTCACCGCATCCCTTGGCAACGAGTTCCACTTGCTAATTGTGTATTGTATGAAGAAGTATTTCCTTTTGTTTATTTTAAACCTACTGCCTATTAATTTCATTGGGTGATCCCTGGTTCTTGTTCTACATGAAGGAGTAAATACTTCCTTATTCACTGTCTCCACACCATTCATGATTTTATAGACCTGTGTCATACCCCCCTCACTTGTCTCTTTTCCAAGCTGAACAGTCCCAGTTAGAAGTGTTCCACAGCCTTAATTATTTTTCTCGCCCTTCTCTGTGCCTTTTCTATTTCTAATGCATCTTGTTTGAGATGTGGCGACCAGAACTGCACACAGTATTCAAGGTGCGGATGTACCATGATTTATGTAGTGGCATTATGATATTTACCGTCTTCCTATCTGTCCCTTTCCTACTGGAACCGACATACTGTTTGCTTTTTTGACAGCCCCTGCACATTGAGCGGATGTTTTCAGAGAACTATCCGCAGTGACTCAAAGATCCCTTTCTTGAGTGGTAACAGCAAATTTAGACCTCATCATTTTGTGTATATAGCTGGGATTTTGTTTCCCAATGTGCATTACTTTGCATTTATCAACATTGAATTTCATCTGCCATTTTGTCGCCCAGTCACGCAGTTTTGTGAGATCCCTTTGTAGCTCTTTGCAATCTGCTTTGGACTTAACTATCTTGAGTAATTTTGTGTCATCGGCAAACTGTTTACCCCTTTTCCAGATCATTATGAATGTTGAACAGCACCGATCCCAGTACAGATCCTTGGTGGACACCACTATTTACTTCTCTCCATTCTGAAAACTCACCATTTATTCCTACCCTTTGTTTCCTATCTTTTAACCAGTTAGTGATTCATGAGAGAATGGTCTCTTTATGCTATGAATGCTTAGTTTGCTTAAGAGCCTTTGGTGAGGGACCTTGTCAAAGGCTTTGTGAAAGTCCAAGTACACTATATCTACGGGATCATCCTTGTCCACATATTTGTTGACCCCCTCAAAGAATTCTAGTAGATTGAGGCAGGATTTCCCTTTACAAAAGCCATGTTGACTTTCCCAACAAATCCTGTTCATGTATGTGTCTGATAATTCTGTTCTTTACTATAGTTTCAACCAGTTTGCCTGGTACTGAAGTTAGGCTTATTGGCCTGCAATTGTCAGGATTACCTCTGGAGCCTTTTTTAAAAATCGGCATCACGTTAGCAGTCCTCCAGTCATCTGGTACAGAAGCAGATTTAGGCGATAGGTTATGTACCACAGTTCTGCAGTTTCATATTTGAATTCCTTCAGAATCCTTGGATGAATCCCATCTGATCCTAGTGACCAGTTACTGTTTAATTTGTCAGTTTGTGCCAAAACTTCCTCTGTTGACACCTGAATCTGGGAAAGTTTTCAGATTTATCATCTAAAAAGAATGGCTCAGGTATGGGACTCTCCCTCACATCCTCTGCAATGAAGACGATGCAAATAATTAATTTAACTTCTCCACAATGGCCTTGTCTTCCTTTAGTGCTCCTTTAGCCCCTCGATCGTCCAGTGGCCCTACTGGTTGTTTGGCAGGCTTCCTGCTTCTGAAAAAAATTGTTTGCTGTTAGTCTCTTGCTAGTTCTATGTTCTTATGTTCTATTCCTACCTTTGCCACTGATTTACTGAATGACCTCAGCTAAGTCACTTCAGCCATCTGTACCTCAGTTTCCTTGTCTGTAATTTGAAGCTCTTTACCTCCTTAGCAGGGGTGTTAGTGTAAGTAATGTTTGTAAATTTTTTGAGGTGCACTAGAGAAGCTTTGGAAGATGCTAGAGATGCAAATATTAAGGTAGCCCACAGTTTGGGACTGTAGAAATGTGGTGTTCTTCTGAACCTGCCAGCTCCACCAGAAATTCTGTCAGTGGCACATGAATTACATTCTGATTTTTGTGTTTAAGATTTGCTTTAAAAGGCTTGCGATCAAAAGGGCTCTTTCCTAGCTAGCCTGTAAAATCTCTTCTTTTTCCCAGTGTTGTCTCTGCCTTCCTGCTTTAGAGAGGCAGCATGTCTGTCTTAGTCTGAGAACTGAGTGAACAGGCTAGTTTTTCATCTTGGTTTCCCTTGTTGCAGAGTGCAAGCACGACCTCTTCTGCTGGGCCTGGTGGTGACCAAAATGAGCTCGTCACCAGAATAGCTAACCTGGAGGTGGAGAACCAAAATCTCCACAGTGGTAAGTGAGAAATCTCTGGCAAGAAAACACATTGGACTTGGCAGCTAGTGGCAGGCACATCTTGCTGACCACTCAGTGTAACGTCGTGAAGTCCTGTGAATTGTGTGTATTTTGTTGGTGGTTTTGTTAACGTTGGAGCGAGGATTTCTCTCGAGTTGGGATAGATGCAGTTTGCTTGGTAGCCTGCCTAGAGTGAAAGCAAACTCATCCTGACCTGACCAAAGAATAATTGCTGCATCTTCTGCCATGTGTTGAACCAGTAAGATGAGAGAGTTCTTTCTCCCTTTTCTAGTTGTTGCAGATCTTCAGCTGGCCATCTCCAAGCTGGAAACTCGCCTGAACACACTAGAAAAATCCTCCACCTCTCACCATCCCTCAGCAACGCCGCCAACCCAGGTAATCAACTCCTCAAGGTGCCAAGTCCGTTTAGAATACTTCATGCCATCTACTAAGGAGAAAAGCGATCTCTGCACGAGTGTTAGCCAAGGCCTCCCCAGCAGAGCCTTCTAGAGCTGCTCTTTCTTCCTCATCTCAGCCCAAGTGCAGATGCCGAGCACGGATTCTCCTGCTTCAGGCCCAGTGAAGAGGATATGTGATGGGCCAGATCCTCAGCTGGGACAAATCTGCAGAGGTCCACCAAAATCTGATGCTAAGCCAGTAATTAACACTTGAGTGTAAATGGGCACACACTAAGTAAACTAAGCGTCTTGGTACCTATTAGGTATATAGCAAGGAGAGACCTATACAGATGGACAGACTTGGGGACCTATTGGTTCTCACAAGCCTTGTGAGAATCTTTGCCTCGAGTAGGAAAAAGTAATATCTCTGGGAGCTGAGTATCCTGTACCCGTTGCATCTTGCCCCAGTTTGGAGGCTGCATTGGAGACCTTTAATGGAACTAACTTTTGCCCCTGTGTATTGTATTCTGTAAATACTTGTACAGTAACTCCTCACTTAAAGTTGTCCAGATTAACGTTGTTTTGTTGCTGATCAATTAGGGAACATGCTCATTTAAAGTTGTGTAATGCTCCCTTCTGACGTTGTTTGGCAGCCGCCTGCTTTGTCCACTGCTTGCAGGAAGAGCAGCCCGTTGCAGCTAGCTGGTGGGGGCTTGGAACTAGGGTGGACCGGCAGCCCCCCTGTCAGCTCCCCACTCCCCTAAGTTCCCTGTGCAGCAGCTGCCCAGCAGGCTAGCAATTGCAGCTGTCCCTCCCCCCACTGCCATATGCTGCTCCTGCCCTCTGCCTTGGAGCTGCTCCCCGAGACTCCTGCTTGCTGTGCGGGGGGGGAGGGAAGGAAGAGGGGGGCTAATGTCAGGGTGTTCCCCTCCCCCCCTGCTCCTGCACCCCACTTACCCCATCTTCCACAGAGCAGGGGACACACACCAGGGCTCAGGATGGAGGGAACTTGCAGCAGCTGCGGTCTCAGAATTAACAAGGCCGAGTACTTAAAGGGGAAATGCGCATATCTCCCTCCATTCCTGCTGCCTTGTGTAGAGAGAGAGTTAACCCTTGAGGGCTCAGCCAATTGCTAGTTCATCATTTATCAGTAAGGGAAATATCCCACCCTCTGACTCCTCCACCTCAACCCAGCTTCACAATCATCATCACAGTGTACCAGTATTAAACCCTCGGCTGGACTGTGCCAGATGACTGTGGTTCGTGGAGCTGTTTCGTTGCTGTGAAACTGCCCTGCAGCCTGAGCCCCATGAGCCAGAGTCGGCTGCACAGGCCAGCCACAGGTTTTTCTTGGCTGCATAGACATACCCTTAAAGTGCCTTCCAGGAGGGCAGTGAGATTAACCTACATAACGTGGTTCATTCCTCTCTTCCCTCCCTTGCCCACAGGAAGAATTGTTTGTGCGCTGGAGCAATTTGTTTTGGGGGTTATTTTTAAGTGTACATGTTGCTATGCTGCTTAGAGAAGGCAACCTGCGGACATGTGCCTGGCACTTAGGCTCTTTTAGATATGCTGGGCCCAGGCCATTGAGTGCCTTGAATATAAGCACCAAGCTCCTGGCTGCATGACTTTGAGCTCTTGCCTTTGGATGGTGGCATAGTCTAGTTTTGGCAAGTCAGGTCCTAACTGTGACAAGGGGTGGAGTTTGCTGCTTTGTTTTACACTTTGGATTTATTTTCTCCTTCTTTTGCCCATTGCTTCCATGAAGCATGTCACCCCAATGAAGAAGGTGGAATCACCTGCTGCTCCCCCAAAGAAAGTGGAACTCCCTTCTGCTCCACCTGCAAAGAAAGTAGGACCATCTGAGGCTGACGACGAAGATGAGGATGACGACATTGACCTATTTGGCAGTGGGGATGAAGAGGAAGACCAGGAGGCTGCCAAAGTTCGGGAAGAGCGACTACGCCAGTATGCGGAGAAGAAGTCTAAAAAGCCTGGCCTCGTTGCCAAGTCTTCCATCCTTCTGGATGTCAAGCCTGTAAGCAGCTTAAGCTATTCCTTACACAACAACTGTTTTGGCTCTGAAGCGGGGTGCCTGTCCTGAGATTGATTGTAACATTGCAGGAGTGTGTGGGTTACATCTAACTTGCAGACTGCAGCTGCCCTGTGTAGATGATCTGGTGCATAAATTACAGAACCTATCAGCATGCAGTTGTTTGGATCGGCATTGAGCATTGCATGATGGGATCTGTGAGCTGTTCTGCTCCATATTAAAGATGGCAGTTGCAGATGTGCTGTGGGCTGCAGTTTGATCACCCCTGGTTTGGAAGATCTTTCTTCTCTTGGGGCTTATTCACGTGGTCAGTTAGAGCGTAGGAAGCTGGGGTGTAAATCTGTATCTCTCTATCCTGCTGCGCGCTATCTGGGCAGGTGGGCCCTGCTACCACGCACTAAAAGTTCCATAGTGCGCTTGGACATACTGCTGTTTCAGTCTGTGTGTGTGGCAGGCTAGAGTGTTTGTACGTTCACACCTTGGCTTGCCATGCATGATGTCTCTGTGTGGAAAAGCCCTTGAAAAAACTTGCACCTGTTAGAGCACAAATATAGGGAATAAAAGCCTGAAATACAAGCACAGATTAATGATCAGTAAAGCACAAACTCTCTCAAGAGGACAATGAAACGGAAGTGTATAGGATTACCCAACACTTTGGGCTAACTAGATAAGTGCTAAGTAGTAGTTTTACCAACTATCAAGGGCTTAGAGTTAGTTCTTGAAGCTGAGACCCTGAGATGGAAGAAGTGACACATCATTCCAAGAACACTTCCCCTTAGGTATGCAGAATCCAGACCTTCTGCAGTAACTTGGGCTCGCTTCATGCAGAGTCAAACTGAGAGATGATTCCTCTGGGAAAGGCTCCTTTCATCAAAGAAAGGACTCGTTAACAGAGACTGATGGCAAAACTAGGTGGGAAGAGCTGAATACTGGCGTATCACTGACTAGCGCATTGTCTAGCAAATTGGCAGGAACAAGTAGAATTCATGATTTTGTCAGTCTTGTTCTCTGCTGAGCACAGAAGAGTTCCATCTCGCATCTCCTCGCTGCTTTCCTGATCGCAGCCCTATATGGTAGTGTGTTAAACCCCTTGTTGCTGATTTACGTATGGAATTGGAATACATACCACATTGATCCTGTTGAGGATTGCAGAGTCCTCAGTCCTGACAGATAGTCCCACAGCCTAATGCTAATGTAGGTAAACCTTCTAAGGTCCCTTTTTGTGCTTTGTTAGTGGGATGATGAAACTGACATGGCAAAGATGGAGGAGTGCGTCCGGTCCATTCAGATGGATGGCCTGGTTTGGGGAGCCTCCAAGTTGGTTCCAGTGGGCTATGGTATTAAGAAGCTCCAGATCCAGTGCGTAGTGGAGGATGACAAGATTGGAACAGACATACTGGAGGAGGAGATCACCAAGTTTGAAGACTACGTAAGTCCTCCCCTTGTGCCTTGCAGTGCTTTCAAACACCTGGGCCCTTAAACCCACACCCCAGATTTTGATCCACTTCATGTGTTTGCAGCCTACAGTATATTCAGATTCTGCATCATCTAAACTTTCAAGGGTGGGAGGGGACTTGAGTTTTTAGTCCCCATGTTTGTGGAGATAACCTTATAACCATGAAGAGTATAAGGATGCTGTTCCAGAGCCTGCAGACAGCCTGAAGCAATAGCTTTGAGGTGTGAACCGCCCTTGTACTCATTGGGGTGCCTAGTTCTTGGTGCTTCAGGGACAGCAGTTCACTATCTTGTTGCTGATTGTTTTAGCGGCTGAGATGGGACATGGATGTGGGGTGGAGTGAAGTCTACAGCAGAGGTGGAATTGGGACTTATTGTGTGGGGAAGAGAGGAGACCCACAAGGATGGGGACAAGGAGAGAAACAGAGCAGAAATAGTGGCAATCCTGAAGGCTAGTTTTTTCCCACTGAGTGGTTCTGAAGGTGACAAGGCGCATTGACAAATATTAACATAGTTAATTTACTACATAAAGGCTATCTCCTCCCTTTAATCTGTGCAAACTAACCTTTCACATCAGTGGGAAGTTGCTGTGGATTCAGGAAAGCACATGCAGTCCTAAACTATATCTTGGCCCACAGACCATAATTAAAAATGGAACTTCTCCCCTTTCTATAGGGTGAGTCTGAAACCAGTTTTAATTTGTAAGCTCTTTGGGGTGGGAACTTTTTCTTGCCGTTTGTACAAGCCCCAGCACAATGGGGCTCTGATCCTAAAAAAAAAAAAAAAAAAAAATCATAATAATAATGGAGATATCCTATCTCCTAGAACGGGAAGGGACCTTGAAAGGTCATCGAGTCCAGCCCCCTGCCTTCATTAGCAGGACCAAGTACTGATTTTGCCCCAGATCCCTAAGTGGCCCCCTCAAGGATTGAACTCACAACCCTGGGTTTAGCAGGCCAATGCTCAAACCACTGAGCTATCCCTCCTGATTGCCATTACTAGTTATATAAGCTCCCAATCTTAAAATATGACCATTCGCAGGACTAATTGTTGACTTATAAAAAATGGTCTTTTAATAAAGGATTGTGCTTTATAAACTTTGGGATGGTTAGGGCAAACGTCTTCTGTCAAGAGACCACCCCAGTAAGTGTGCTTTCTGTACATCTTAAATCTCTGGAACGTATTTTCTGATCTTTAACAGCATTTCTTGTTCTATTTCAGGTGCAGAGTGTCGACATAGCGGCTTTCAACAAGATCTAAGAGCTAACGTTTATCCTTTCTGGAACTGTAACTAATAAAAAGGTCAAGATTTTGAGTGCAGATGGTGTGGGGTGTCTTTCCTTGGAATGTGTGCCAGTTGCACAGGGGATCAGAAGGTGGTAGCCAACATCCCAGGAGTCTCTTGTGCATATTGCTTACAAAACTGCAAAATAGGGGAAAGCCAACTATCATCCCAATGTCGTTGACAAGCTGGTATGACAAGGGGTCCTATAAAATAGCCCAGAGTGAATAGCCACAAATATATCCTACTTGGCTGTATTTTATGCTTCCACTTCACCCAAGCAGGGGTTAGGACCCCATTGTTTCCCTTAGTCTTAAACCGAGTGTACAAACATTAGGTTACAATGTCAGACTCGTAATTTGTATCTTCCTGAAGAATCTGGATTTATAACTGTTAAATTTCATTGTGCTGAGCCTTGGCCATGAAATAGTGAAGAGATTTTAGGGTTTCATTTATTTAGAGCTGCTAAAAACGGCTCTAAATTCAGAAGTGTTGCTGGCTTGTTAAGTAACTTTAAAAAGTAGCTGCCTTTATTCACATTAGCTGCTTTAATCATGTTTTTAAAAAAATCAAATGATCTTTAACATGAAACTGTCCTTTGAATTTGCCTGCCACCTGCAGGGGTCAGGAAGGCACACCTCCCCTTATCTCCTTCCTCTGAAGCATCAGGGATGGCCACAGCTGGAGATGGGACACTGGGCAGGGAGGGCCTGGGCTCTGAGGTGGCAGTGAGTACTCTCTCCCCTGAAATACAGCTGACTGGTTCTTGCTCACATGCTCCTGTGGGCTTTGGTCTAGTTTCAGTTGTTGTGGTTAGTGTGTAGATGCTGAGTGGTGTTGGTGGCCTATGAGATACCGGAGATCAGACTAGATGACCTAGACCAATGATCCCTTCTGGCATTACACTCCGAGTATGACTCTAATTGGACTGTGTGTGACAGGAGCATAGACTCAGGTATCTGGGGGCTGACTCTTAGTGTCTGTATTCACACTCTGATATTGCTTTCAGTCACCAAACTGTATCATAGGATCTCTATGGATAGTAATTCCATGCTTGAAGAATAAGAATATAGCAGTAGGGATATACTACCGACCACCTAACCAGGATGGTGATAGTGACTGAAATGATCAGGGAGATTAGAGAGGCTGTTAAAATAAAAAGCTCACTAATGGGGGATTTCAACTATCCCCATATTGACTGGGTACATGTCACCATTGGAAAACATAATCCCAACTATACATATAAAATGATGGGGTCTAAATTTGCTGTTACCACTCAAGAAAGATCTTGGAGTCATTGTGGATAGTTCTCTGAAAACATCCACTTAATTTGCAGCGGCAGTCAAAAAAAGTGAACAGAATGTTGGGAATCATTAAGAAAGGGATAGATAATAAGACAGAAAAGATGATATTGCCTCTATATAAATCCATGGTACACCCACATCTTGAATACTGTGTGCAGATGTGGTCACCCCATCTCAAAAAAGATATATTGGAATTGTAAAAGGTTCAGAAAAGGGCAACAAAAATGATTAGGGGTATAGAATGGCTTCTGTATGAGGAGAGATTAATAAAACTGGGACTTTGCAGCTTGGAAAAGAGACGACTAAGGAGGGATATGATTGAAGTCTATAAAATCATGACTGGTGTGGAGAAAGTTAAATAAGGAATTGTTATTTACTTCTCATAACACAAGAACGGGGTCACCCAATGAAATTAATAGGCAGCAGGTTTAAAACAAACAAAAGGAAGTATTTCTTCACACAATGCACAGTCAATCTGTGGAACTCTTTGCCAGAGGATGTTGTGAAGGCCAAGACTATAACAGGGCTCAAAAAAGAACTAGATAAAATTCATGGAGGATAGGTCCATCAATGGCTATTAGCCAGGATGGGCAGGGATGGTGTCCCTAGCCTCTGTTTGCCAGAAGCTGGGAATGGGTGACAGGGGATGGATCACTTGACGATTATCTGTTCTGTTCATTCCCTCTGGGACACCTGGCATTGGCCACTGTCGGAAGACAGGATACCATGCTAGATGGACCTTTGGTCTGACCCAGTATAGCCGTTCTTATTGAGAAGTAATGTTATCAATTGAAATAGTTAGCCTAACCTAGAAGCAGTGCTGCTATATTAAGAAAAACTCCTCTTAAAAGACTTCTCTTGGGACTTCCTCATAATTCCTATGCAATTAACTTACCCCTGCGTCCATACTAGGCTAGTGTACTGACAGCGGAACCAAAAGGATTTTGTAGAAATGTAGGTCTGGAAGGGACCTTGATAGGTCATCTAGTCCAGTCCTCTGCACTGAGGCAGGATTAAGTATTATTTAGACCATTCCTAACAGGTGTTGAACTGGTTTTTAAAAACCCTCCAATGATGGAGATTCCACAACCTCCCTAGGTAACTTGTTCCAGTGCTTAACTTCCCTTACAGTTAGGAAGGTTTTTTTCCTAATGTCTAATCTAAGTCTCCCCTGCACTAGTTTAAACCCATTACTTCTTGTTCTGGCCTCGGTGATTAAGGAGAGCAATTTATCACCCATCTCTTTATAACAGCCTTTTATGAAAAGACTTATCACTTTCCCCCCTCAGTTTTCTCTTTTCCAGACTAGACAAACCAAATATTTTCAGTCTTTCCTCATAGGTTTTTCTAGACCTTTAATCATTTTTGTTGCTTGTCTCTGGACTTTTTCCATTTGTTCATATCTTTCCTAAAGCGTGGTGCCCAGAACTAGATGCAATACTCAAGCTGAGGCCTTATCAGGGCTGAGTAGAGCGGAAGAATTACTTCTCATGTCTTGCTTATACATCCCAGAATGATGTCTCCTTTTTTTTGCAACAGTGTTACATTGATTCATATATAGTTGATAATCCACTATAACCCTCAGATCTTTTTCTGCAGTACTCCTTCCTAGGCAGTCATTTCCCATTTTATATCTGCAATTGATTGTTCCTTCCTAAGTACAGTACTTTGAAATTCAGTATGGACAAATGCATCCTACTTACTTCAGACCATTTCTCCAGTTTATCAAGACCATTTTGAATTCTAATCCTGTCCTCCAAAGCACTTGCAACCCCTCCCAGCTTGGTATCGTCTGCAAACTTCATAAATGTAGTTTCTCTGTTACCTAAATGAGTGCTTCATGTTGATCTTGCCATGGAGGTGTGTGGGGCTCTTGGGAAATTATATAGCTTCTGTATTGAATTGAATTGAATTGAATTGCCAAGCATCTGCAACTATTGATTTCAATGTGGGAATGGGGGTGTTCAACACCTCTGGGCTTCATGTTTGCTTTTGCTGGAGAGCTTGTGTATTTGAGAGCAAAGTTAGCTGTGGAGGGAAGCTTCGGGAAGGGCGTGTTGATGCTCTTGACTCTCTTACTTCAGGATGCAATTGCGAACTGAAATCCAGTTGTGGAAACCTATCTGATCAATGATTGATACATTTGTGTTACTCAGCAGGTATCATCATGATCCACTGAATGAATGACAGTCTCTAAGTAAAAAGCGACAGAGTCCTGTGGCACCTTACAGACTAACAGACGTATTGGAGCATGAGCTTTCGTGGGTGAATACTCACTTCATCACAAAAGCTTATGCTCCAATACGTCTGTTAGTCTATAAGGTGCCACAGGACTCTCTGTTGCTTTTTACAGCTCCAGACTAACACGGCTACCCCTCTGCTACTAGTCTCTAAGTACTAAATGCTCCTTATTGAGCTCTGGCACAAGAGTTGCAGGGAAGGCTCAGAAAAGAGACCTAGGTGCAGGGAGAGCTCTGGGAAGCAGCAGAGGTGGGGCTAACATGTAGGATGGGGTCAGAATGCAGTGACGATAAGAGGCAGGTGGGTCTCAGGTCCTGCAGGGCCTCGTGGTGACTGCAAACACTCCCTTGCAGGGACTCCCTTGGTGCTTTTATATCCAAGTGTAAAGGTAGATACACTCCATCTTCTGAAACAAAGCTCTGTGGGCTTATAACACTTGCAGATGATGCCAAGCTGAGAAGTGCTGCGAGCACTTTGGAGGGTAAGATCAGAATTCAAAATTAGCTTGGCAAATTGGAGAATTGATCTGAAATCAACCAGATGAAATTCAACGAAGACAAGTGCCAAGTACTTCACTTAGGAAGGAAAATCAAACGTGCAACTACACAATGGGGAATAACTGGCTAGGCAGTAGCACTGCTGAAAAGGAGACAGGGGTTGTAATGGATCACAACCAGAATACACATCAACGTGTGATCCAGTTGCAAAAAAGGCTAATATCCTGGGGCATAGTAAGAGGAGTGTTGTATGTAAGACATGGGAGGTAATTGTTCCGCTCTGCTCAGCACTGATGAGGCCTCAGCTGGAGCACTGTGTCTAATTCTGAGTAGCACACTTTAAGATGTGGACAAATTGGAGAGAGTCCAGAGGAGAGCGACAAAAATAAAAGGTTTAGAAAACCTGAGCTATGAAGAAAGGGTAAAAAAAACTGGGCATGTTTAGTCTGGAGAAAAGATGACTGAGGGGGGGACCTGAAAACAGTCTTCAAATATGTTCAGGGCTGTTCTACAGAGGACAGGGATCAATTGTTCTCCATGTCCACTGGAGGTAGGACCACAAGTAATGGGCTTAATCTGCAGCAAGGAAGATTTAGGTTAGATATTAGGGGAAAAAATTCTAACAATGAGGGTAATTAATCTCCAATGGCTTCCAGTGGAGAATGGGGGATCCCTGTTGGATGTTTTAAGAACCGGTTGGACAAACACGTGTCAGGATTAATCTGGGTTTATTTGGTACTGCCTCAGCACTGGGAGGCTGGACTTTAACTTCTCAATGTCCCTTCTAGCCCTACATTTCTACGTTTCTATGAAGCTGAAACTAGACAAACTTAGACTGGAAATAAGGTGTAAATGTTTAACAGGTCAGGTGAGGGTAATTAACCTTTGGAAAAACCCTTACCCAGGCTCAGGATGGACTCCCCACTGAACATGTTTAAATCACAATTGGATGTTTTTGTAAAAAATACTCGTGTTCAAATGGGTTAGTTCAGGGAAGTCTTGTGGCTTGTTATGCTGGAGGCTGGACTACTAGATGATCTCAATTAATGGACCTATCCTCTGTGAACTCCTCTAATTCCTTTCTTGAAGTATAAATGGGTTCAGAGTAGAACTGGGCAAGTTCAGGGACGATGGGTCCATCAAACCCTATTAGCCAAGATGGTCAGGAATGCAACCTCATGCACTGGGTGTCAATAAACCAATCGGCAGAAGCTGGGACTGGATGATGGGGGATGGATCACTAGAAATTACCCTGTTCTGTTCATTCCCTCTGAAGTATCTGGCACCAGCTGCAGTCAAGACAGGCTACTGGGCTAACTGGACAATTGGTCTGACCCAGTATGGCCATTCTTATGTTCAATGGTATCATCTAGGCTAGAAGTTCTAGCCTTATGTGTGAAGATCTGTTGAACAGTGCAGCATGTATGCCTAACAGGATTGCTTTTTGAATGGTATGATCCTGTAAAGCTTGTTTTTTTTTTTTCCTTTGTAGAAATTCCCAACCAGGGTAAATGGTTGGCCAAAACCTCAGAAGTAGCAATTGTAATGATTTACAGAGACTAGTTAAATAAAATTAATAAACTTGATCTGTTCTGATTAAACAAGAACATCTCCTTTGTATGATTAGAAAACAAAGTAAAGATTTCTTGTGCTATATTTAGTAGAACTTTGGCTAGTTTTGCTCTTTGTTCTTGCTAGGGCCTTAGAAGAATTATATACCTGTACAGCTGCCATAAGCAGGTGCCATTCTACTAACTTTAATAGTTATATAGCAGTGAATTCAGTCTCTCATATCTCCTGTACTCCCTATATTGCATAAGGCAGTGCACTTGTTTCCTCACCTGTACAATGCAGATAATATTTACCTGGCTCTGGGGAACCGAGAACTTGAATTTCAAAGCTCAGGAACAAACTACAGGTGGTAGCTGTTAGTCAGGTTGCTTAATGCGTGACTGGAAGGCACCCTGATATTACGATGATGAATGCGGTGTAAGAACTTCTAAGTTATAACAGAAGTGTAAGTCCAGGGCACTGTGCCTGGTACATTGCTGTTTGAGCCTTAGGTGAGGGAAGAACCTGGGCCCAGATGCCTAAAAGTATTTAGGCTTAGGGTTGCCAACTTTGTAATATTTTAAAACGGGACACTCCAGCAAGAGTGCTGGAACCTCTTCTTCCCCCCGAGGACCCACCCCTTCCCCCCAGGCCTCACCCTTCCCCTCCCTCTTCTCCAAAGGCCCTGCCCAACAATCACTCCTCTTTCCCTCCTCTCCCCTGTCTCCCTCTGCAGAGCAGGGAGCTGCAGCCACCTGAGGCAGGTAGGAGGCAGCCCTGGCTGAGTAGGGGCTGACGCAGGTGATAGCCTAGCATAGAATGACCAGACACCAAGTGTAAAAAATCAGGACAGGGGATGGGGGGGTAATAGGAGCCTATAGAAGAAAAAGACCCAAAAATCGGGACTGTCCCTATAAAATCGGGACATCTGGTCACCCTAGCGCCTCCCTGCCTCCCCCACCCACAGTAACCGGACTATGGGTGTCCGGTCAGTAGATCTGACTGGACACTCGGATCCCCTTTTTGACCGGACTTTCCAGTTGAAAACCAGGCACCTGGTCACCCTATTTAGGCTCCATTGATTTCCATGGAAGGTTGGAGCCCAAATACATTTAGGGACCCGATCCCTGAGCCGAGCCCTAGAAGGGTGGGCACAGAATCCATGTGCAGTCCGACAGCCGGCCTGGGGGAGGGGGTCACTGCAGCCAAGCCCAGCTGGGAGGGGTTACACAGCATCAGGGCCCCGGGCCCCTGGGAGGGGCCACCCAGTGATGGGCAACGGGCGGGCTGCCCCTGCCCCGTGTGTCCCGCCAGGGGCCCTGCGTGCTCCCAGCGGCCCCGCTCGGACTACAACTCCCAGGCGCCCTTGCGGGCGGAGGGGGCTCCCATTGGCTGCAGCGCCCCTCTGCCCCCACGTGACGCTACAGCTGGCGCCCGCCCGCACGTGGGAGGCTCCCAGGGGGCCGGGCCGGGCCGGGCCGGGATGGAGCCGGGGCGGCGGGACTCGCTGGCGCTGCTCACCGACCTCTACCAGTTCACCATGGCCTACGGCTACTGGCGGGCCGGGCGGCAGCGGGAGCCGGCCGAGTTCGAGCTCTTCTTCCGCCGCTGCCCCTTCCGCGGGGGCTTCGCCCTGAGCGCGGGGCTGGGCGAGTGCCTGGCCTTCCTGCGGGCCTTCCGCCTCCGCGAGCCAGGTGGGGCCAGGGAGCGGGGGGGGGGCAGGCAGCATATGGGGCCGGGCCAGGGAGTGGGAGGGGTCAGGCAGGGTGGGGACATTGCCAGGGAGCGTGGGGGACAGTGCCAGGGAGGGGGAGTGCCAGGGCATGGGGGGGGGAGGGCACTGTCAGGGATCATTGGCGGCAGTGCCAGGGAGCGGGTGGGGGGCGCACTGGGGGCAGTGACAGGCAGCCCTGGGAGCAGGCAGGGGAGGGGTCAATGCCAGGGAGCAGTAGGGACAGAGCTGGCGCTAGGCATAAACAGACTAAGACATAGGGCCCTGAGCAGCTCAAGGCAGCACTTTATTTGCTTTTTTAGTGTGTGTTGTGTGAGGGGGTTCCCCGGGGGGCCCCCACAAAATTATTCCTGCTTAGGGCCCCCAGTGGCCTAGCACCACCTCTGTGTAGGGGCAGTGTTGGGTAGCAGGCAGTGCCAGGGAGCATTCGGGGCAGGTGGAGGAGGGGGTGTTAGTGCAAGGAAGTGTTAGGGGCTGGACATCAGTGCCTGAGAGTTGTAGGGGCAGGGGCAGGTGGCAGGCAAGGTTGGGGTCAGTGCCAATGAGCAAAAGGGGCAGGGCCATGGGGCATTGGAGCAGGCAGGGGGTGGGTGGGGCAGGCAGGGGATGGGTGGGGCAGGGAAGCGTTAGGGGCGGGCAGGAAAGCGTTGGGGGCAGGCAGGGGGGTGGGTGGGGCAGGGAAGCGTTGGGGGCAGGCAGGGGGTGGGTAGGGCAGGGAAGCATTGAGGGCAGGTGGGTGTTGGGTGGGGCAGGCGGGGGGTGCGTGGCTTAGGGAAGTGTTAGGAGCTGGACGTCAGTGCCGGGGGATTGGTGCTGGGGTAATGGCCGGGACAGGTTTTGCTTCATGTGGGGGGTGGGCTACAAACTCCCTGGGCTTCCACCTGTGTGGCACAAATCGAGGTCACGACCCTTGCATTCCCCTCACCTGCCCCAGGCAGGGTCCCTACCGGGAGGAGGGCATTACTAGAGACACTGTACCATGTCTCCGAGTGTTGCTTGCCTAGGGAGTGGGGGAGCATGGGGCCCTCTGTCTAGGTTTCTAGGTTGTTATAAGGTCACTCCTCCCTGTGATGTGTCAGTGCCACCTTCCTACGCTGCCCACCCTGTAAACTGCCTCTTCCCTGACTCTGAGGCCAGGTCTGCACTGTAGCAGAGACACGGTGCGTCGCTATGCTGGCATAATCCCATAGTGCAGACAGAAAGGGGGTTCCAAAGAGGATGGAGCTGGGCTGTTCTCAGTGGTGGCAGATGACAGAACAAGGAGTAATGGTCTCAAGTTGCAGTGGGGGAGGTCTAGGTTGGATATTAGGAAACACTGTTTCACTAGGAGGGTGGTGAAGCACTGGAATGGGTTCCCTAGGGAGGTGGTGGAATCTCCATCCTTAGAGGTTTTTAAGGCCTGGCTTGACAAAGCCCCGGCTGGGATGATTTAGTTGGGAATTGGTCCTGCTTTGAGCAGGGGGTGGGACTAGATGACCTCCTGAGGTCCCTTCCAACCCTGATAGTCTATGACTGCAGCAATAGAAGGTGTTTTTCCGTCAGTGTAAGAACTCCACCTTCCCGAGTGAACGGAGCAAGATCGACAGAAGCAGCAAACCTGCCTTGCTCAGGAGCATGGACTTTTCCCACCCCTGAGCGCCAACCTGTGTAGACCAGATCTCAGTATTCACTCTCTCTCTAACTCCTCACAGCCCAGATTTCTTTCTTTGCCTGCTCCCTCTGTCTCTAAGCTGTGCCATTATTATTATTTGTCACAGAAGCTCCAGGACAGGACTTTATTGCAAAGAGCACCTCATGAATATGTAGCAAGTGACAGTCTGTTTCTATAAAAACAGGGCATCATGGGGGATAAGGCAAACAGGGGAATGAGGAGGGGAGGGGATGAAATCTTGGCTTCCTTCCAGGCTGATAGCAAATCTCCCCTGGACTTCAGTGAGGCCAGTGTTTGCTCAATTAATAGCCAGTCAGTAGCAGTAATCACAACTCTGTCTTTCTGTGACTTGGGTTATCACTTGTTAACTATTACCCCAGCTCGGCAGCTTTGTCTCCGTCATCAGCTGCCCCAAATCAAGGGACTTCACGAATAAACAGCTGATTTATTTTCTTTTTGTGCTTGGGAAACCTTTACCCAAACCTTCTCCTAATGGATCTCTCCCGCCCGCTGTCCAATCCAAATCACCATATGTTCTGCACTGCAGAGTTAGGAACACACTACTTGTGTATGAAAACAAAACGTCATTCGGGGTCATTTCAAGCCTCTTCTGGCAAGGATTGTGATGACCAGTGTGAGACACAGGCTTTCAGGAGAGATCTTACCTGACGCTCTTTGGTGAACTAAGGTGTAAACACCAGACCAAGAGAATCGCTGTAACTCTTATCTACCCCTGTGCCCTCTGCCAGCTGGCATCATGAGGTCCTTTGTTCAGAGGGAGGGTGGCTTAGTGGTTAGAGCACAGGACGGTTTGGAACAGGACGGGGAGTCGAGAGCTCTGGGTGCTACTCTTGGCTCTGCCACTGATCCCCTGAGTTATCCTGGTCAAGTCATGTCCCTGCCCCGTGCCTCAATTTCCCCAGGATTCTCCCCTGCCTTCCAGGGAGGTTGTAGAGCAGTTAGAGATCCTGGGAAGGAAGTGGCTACAGAGATGCAAAGTGTTTATTCTCCTGCATAAAAAGCTTCCTGGCTCCTGAGCGCTTTCAGTTGGCAGATAAAGCTGATTCCAGTTAAACCCGAGTGTCTCTCGTTTGGGGTATAGGTGACCCTATGTAAGGGGACAGCCAAAAAATGATGAGTTTTTAAAGTGCTTATATACCAATGCTAGAAGTCTAAATAATAAGATGGGTGAACTAGAGTGCCTCCTATTAAATGAGGGTATTGATATAATAGGCATCACAGAAACCTGATGGAATGAGGATAATCAGTGGGACACATTAATACCAGGGTACAAAATATACTGGAAGGATAGAACAGGTCGTGCTGGTGGGAGGATGGCACTATATGTGAAAGAAAGCGTAGAATCAAATGAAGTAATAATCTTAAATGAACTAAATTGTACTATAGAATCTCTATGGATAGTAATTCCATGCTTGAAAAATAAGAATATTGCAGCAGGGCTATATTACAGACCACCTGACCAGGATGGTGATAGTGACTCTGAAATGCTCAGGGAGATTAGAGAGGCTATTAAAATAAAAAACTCAATAATAATAATAATAATTAATAATGGGGGATTTCAACTATCCGCATATTGACTGGGTACATATCACCTCAGGAAGGGATGCTGAGATAAAGTTTCTTGACACCTTAAATAACTGCTTCTTGGAGCAGCTGGTCCTGGAACCCACAAGGAGAGAGGCAATTCTTGATTAAGTCCTAAGTGCAGCACAGGATCAGGTCCAAGAGGTGAATATTGCTGGACTGCTTGGTAATAGTGACCATAATATAATTAAATTTAACATCCCTGTGGCAGGGAAAACACCTCAGCAGCCCAACACTGTAGCATTTCATTTCAGAAAGGGGAACTACACAAAAGTGAGGAGGTTAGTGAAACAGAAATTAAAAGGTTCAGCGCCAAAAGTAAAATCCCTGCAAGCTGCAAGGAAATTTTTGAAAGACACCATAATAGAGGCTCAACTTAAATGCATACCCCAATTTCAGAAACACAGTAAGAGAACCAAAAAAGAGCCACCGTGGCTAAACAAAGTAAAAGAAGCAGTGAGAGGCAAAAAGGCATCCTTTAAAAAGTGGAAGATAAATCCTAATGAGGAAAATAGAAAAGAGCATAAACTCTGGCAAATGAAGTGTAAAAATATAATTAGGAAAGCCAAAAAAGAATTTGAAGAACAGCTAGCCAAAGACTCCAAAAGTAATAGCAAAATGTTTTTTAAATACATCAGAAGCAGGAACCCAGCTAAACAACCAGTGGGGCCACTGGACGATCGAGATGCTAAAGGAGCACTCAAAGACGATAAGGTCATTGCGGAGAAACTAAATGAATTCTGTGCATTCACTGTTGAGGATGTGAGGGAGATTCCCAAACCTGAGCCATTCTTTTTGGGTGACAGATCTGAGGAACTGTCCCAAATTGAGGTGTCATTAGAGGAGGTTTTTAAACAAATTGATAAACTAGATCTCACAAAACTAAATGATTGGGCAACAAAATGGCAGATGAAATTCAGTGTGGATAAATGTAAAGTAATGCACATTGGAAAAAATAACCCCAACTATACATACAATATGATGGGGGCTAATTTAGCTACAACTAATCAGGAAAGAAATCTTGGAGTCATCGTGGATAGTTCTCTGAAGATGTCCACGCAGTGTGCAGCGGCAGTCAAAAAAGCAAACAGGATGTAAGGAATCATTAAAAAAGGAATAGCGAATAAGACAGAGAATATCTTATTGCCCTTATATAAATCCATGGTACGCCCACATCTTGAATACTGCGTACAGATGTGGTCTCCTCATCTCAATATATATATATATATATATATATACACACATACACACACTGACATTAGAAAAGGTTCAGAGAAGGGTAACTAAAATGATTAGGGGTTTGGAACGGGTCCCATATAAGAAGAGATTAAAGGGGCTAGGACTTTTCAGCTTGGAAAAGAGACTAAGGGGGGATATGATAGAAGTATATAAAATCATGAGTGGTATGGACAAAGTGAATAAGGAAAAGTTATTTACTTGTTCCCATAATATAAGAACTAGGGGCCACCAAATGAAATTAATGGGCAGCGGGTTTAAAACAAATAAAAGGAAGTTCTTCACACAGCGCACAGTCAACCTGTGGAACTCCTTGCCTGAGGAGGTTATGAAGGCTAGGACTATAACAGGGTTTGAAAGAGAACTAGATAAATTCATGGAGGTTAAGTCCATTAATGGCTGTTAGCCAGGATGGGTAAGGAATGGTGTCCCTAGCCTCTGTTTGTCAGAGGGTGGAGATGGATGGCAGGAGAGAGATCACTTGATCATTACCTGTTAGGTTCACTCCTTCTGGGGCACCTGGCATTGGTCACCGTCAGCAGACAGGATACTGGGCTGGATGGACCTTTGGTCTGACCCAGTATGGCCGTTCTTATGTTAAACAGTAGTAAGTCTCCAGGACCAGGTGGTATTCACCCAAGAGTGCTGAAGGAACTCAGATGTGAAATTGAAGGACTACTAACTGTCATCTGTAACTTATCATTTAAATCAGCTTCTGTACCAAATAACTGGAGAATAGCTAATGTGACGCCATTTTTTAAAAAGGGCTCCAGAGGTGACCCTGGCAACTACAGTCCAGTAAGCCTCACTTCAGTACCGGGCAAATTGGTTGAAACTATCATAAAGAACAAAATTGTCAGACACATAGATGAACATAATTTGTTGGGAAATAGTCAACATGTTTTTTTTAAAGGGAAATCATGCCTCACCAATCTACTAGAATTCTTTGAGGGGGTCAACAAGCATGCGGACAAAGGAGATCCAGTGGATATAGTGTATTTAGATTTTCAGAAAACCTTTGACAAGGTCCCTCACCAAAGGCTCTTAAGCAAAGTAAGCTGTCATGGGATAAGAGGGAAGGTTCTCTCATGGATCAGTAACTGGTTAAAAGATAGGAAACAAAGGGTAGGAATAAATGGTCCGTTTTCAGAATGGAGAGAGGTAAATAGTGGTGTCCCCCAGGGGGTCTGTACTGGGCCCAGTCCTATCCAACATATTCATAAATGATCTGGAAAAAGGGGTAAACAGTGTGGTGGCAAAATTTGCAGATGATACAAAACTACTCAAGATAGTTAAGTCCCAGGCAGACTGCGAAGAGCTACAAAAGGATCTCACAAAACTGGGTGACTGGGCAACAAAATGGCAGATGAAATTTAATGTTGAGAAATGCAAAGTAATGCACATTGGAAAATATAATCCCAACTATACATATACAATGATGGGATCTAAATTAGCTGTTACCACTCAAGGAAGGGATCTTGGAGTCATTGTGGATAGTTCTCTGAAATCATCCACTCAATGTACAGCAGCAGGTCAAAAAAGCAAACGAAATGTTGGGAATCATCAAGAAAGGGATAGATAATAAGACAGAAAAGATCATATTGCCTCTATATAAATCCATGGTACGCCCACACCTTGAATACTGCGTGCAGATGTGGCGCCCCATCTCAAAAAAGATATATTGGAATTGGAAAAGGTTCAGAAAAGGGCAACAAAAATGATTAGGGGTCTGGAACGGCTTCCGTATGAGGAGAGATTAATAAGACTGGGACTTTTCAGCTTGGAAAAGAGGCGACTAAGGGGGGTGTAGTAGGGTGAGCCGGGGCTCTACCCTCCGAGATGGAGGGGTGCCACACCGTCTCACTGAATTGCAGACAGTCTCGCCTCAGGTCCTTGTACGCAAGGGCGGAGCGGCTCACAGTTCAGGAGCTCAGGCCCTTAGGTAGGGGCTGAGCGCCAGCTAACCGTCCAAGCAGGCCCAGGCCCTGGGTCAGGGCGGGGCACGAACAGTCACAGCTCAAGCCCTTCTGGGGCAGGGGTTGAGCAGACAAGCAGTTAAAGGGGGCCCAGGTTCCTACCTGAGCGTTGGGTGAGGGGGAAGCCTGCCACCCGTGAGTGGGGGTGGCAGGGGGGGACGCAGGCCCACCCACTCCACTGCGTCCCAGCCCGGGGCCCTAGCAGCGATTGCTGTCGCTGCCGGTCAGTGGGGTATCCTGACTGAAACACAGTGACATCGGCTCACAGGCCTCTGCAGCCTGACCTGGGTCGGCTACCCCCGGGCTACTTCCGTGTTCCCCCTCGGGGCTTACCTCGGCGGCAGTGCCGGGTTCGGGCCAGTCCAGCAGCATCGGCTCCTCGGGTGCGGGGCTTAGGGGCCGGTCCGGCAGCTCTTCCCCAGGATAGCTGGCACAGGGCAGACTTGACTCCTCCTCGGGGCAGCTGGTCTGGGGCAAGCTGGGCCAGTCCTCCTCAGGATAGCTGGCACGAGGAAGGCTGGGCCAGTCCTCCTCGGGGTGACGGGTCCGGGGCAGGCTGGGCCAGTCCTCCTCAGGATAGGTGGCACGGGGCAGGCTGGCCCAGTCCTCCTCGGGGTGACGGGTCCGGGGCAGGCTGGGCCAGTCCTCCTCGGGGTACCTGGCGAGAGGGAGGCTTGACCGGCGCGGGGCGTTAGCAGGCGGCTCGCGGCCTGCGGCTGTCTTCCAAGCGGGAGCTTGGCCCGGGACGTCTGCTCTCTCCGGCAGTCTGGCTCTTACTGAGCTTTGCTGGCGGGCTTTTATACTTCCGGGTCGGGGCCGTGACCTTGGAGGGGCGGGCCCCGGACCCGGTAGCTCCGCCCACGCTGGGAGTGGAGGAAGCTCGGCCCTGTCGGAGATGGAGGGGTGCCACACCGGCTCACTACAGGGGGATATGATAGAGGTCTATAAAATCATGAGTGGTGTGGAGAAAGTAAATAAGGAAGTGTTATTTACTCCTTCTTGTAATACAAGAACAAGGGGCCACCAAATGAAATTAATAGATAGCAGATTTAAAACAAATACAGGAAAGTATTTTTTCACGCAACGCACTGTCAATCTCTGGAACTCCTTGCCAGAGGGTGTTGTGAAGGCCAACACTCTAACGGTGTTCAAAAGGGAGCTAGATACATTCATGGAGGACAGGTCCATCAATGGCTATTAGCCAGGATGGGCAGGATTCGTGTCCCTAGCCTCTGTTTGCCAGAAGCTGGGAATGGGCGACAGGGGATGGCTCACTTGATGATAACCTGTCTGCTCATTCCCTTTGGGGCACCTGCCATTGGCCACTGTCGGCAGACAGGATACTGGGCTGGATGGACCTTTGCTCGGACCCTATATGGCCGTTCTTATGTTCTAAGGGTCATCTCCGGTCAGACGCAACCCTTGTGGGGTGGTTTATACGTTCCACCGAAGCAGCTGGGGCTGGCTGCTGTTGGAGACGAGCTAATGAGCTAGCTGGAGCCCTGCTCTGGCCGTTGCTCTCCCTCAGCCATCACTGGGAGTTATGTCCATCCTCCCGCCGCATGGTCTTCTCACCGAGGCCCTGCTTGGGGATCAGAATTTCCCTGGCCACAGCAGCCACGTGCCATCGTGGCTGCTCTGAGCAGCTGCTCGGTCCCATCTGCTCCGGTGTGGTGCTTGGTCTTCTCTGCGGACCTGGGACCGGCGGTGTGAACTCTCCTCTCCAGTCATGCCTCAGCCCAGCACAACGCGGAGGCAGCCGGACTTGGGACTGTGGCTACCCAGGCGAGAGCACAGTGGAGCTGCAGTGGGGTGGTTCTCGCAGGGCAGATGGGACCGTAGAGGGCTAGTGAACAACATGGGGGTTGGGAAAAAATTCCCCGCCTGCCCTCAGGGAGACCTTGGTAGTGACATCATCTAAACCCACAGCCCCGCCTGCCGCCGGGACACCTCTCCCAGGGCACGAGGGTGCTCCTCTGTGAACAGCGATCTCTGGCTGCTTTCCAGAAATCGAGTACCTGCAGTCGGTCCTGCCCAGCACTATGGAGAAGGCTTTCTTCGATTACCTGCGCACCGTGGACGCCTCCGAAGTCACCGTCTCCTCTGTGCCGGAGGGCTCCATCGTCTTCGCCACGGTGGGCATTAGTCAGAGCAGCCGCGCAATTCGGTGTAAAGCAGGCTGAGAACTCTCAGGCAGTCTCTGTGAATCATTCCTGAGTCAGGGTGGCCTAGTGGACTGAAATTTGGAGAGATCTGGATTCTATTCCTGGCTCTGCCACTGGCCTGCCTGGGCAAGTCACGTGACCCCTCCGTGCCTCAGTATCCCCATCTGTGCAATGGGGATAATGATACTGACGTCCTTTGTAAAGCACTTTAAGATCTATTGGTGAAAGGTGCGATATACAGGCTGGTTACTATTGTTATATAATGTGGGTGGCTCAACCAATGCATTTCGCCTGGCTTCTCTTCCATTCCCATCTCTCACCTGTAAGTTTGATTGTTCACCCAGGGCTCAGAGCTGAGAACAGAACCCAGGAGTCCTGACTCCAAATCCTGTGATTCTCCTACTAGACTGTCCTGCCCCTTTGTGCTGGACTTGCAGTTTCCTCTGCAGTGGGCGGGGTGTGGATGCAGCCGCTGTTTGAATGTCTCAGTCTGTAGGCACGTGTGCATCGCACCAGTGGAAAAGAGTGAGAGCTGGTGCAATGAGAGTTCAATCAGATTCTGGCTGCGTTAGCTGAAACCGGCTTGACTTTGGGTTTAGTTCACACTGGCTTCTTCAAGACCAGAAGGATGAACTTGTCCTGCAAACTAAGGCGTGCACTGAGTGGAGTGTTCTTGGGTAAATAAAGCAAGGCCATTTCCCTCCAAATACCAGAGTCTTATTAAAAGACTCTTATCTGCTCTGTAGGAAAGGAAGGCGCAAGTCTGGAAAGGATGGAGGCTTCTGGCTTCCGAAAATAGTCAGAGAAAAGTCCCTAGAAGGAGGAGCTACAGAAAGAGAAGGGAAATACAGAATGATTGATGGACTAGCCCATATATAGCGACACAGGAATATTCAAGGTGGGAGCCTGGTAGTTAAAGGTCTCCAGACTTTGTTCGGCAGGAGCTGAGGACTGAACGTTCGTGAGAGACGGAGTTACCCCAGGTCACAGAAAGGCATCTCTGCGGACCATTTGAGGATGTCCACCCGTTCCTGGAGAGCCCGGGATTCCAGCTTGTGCGATCAGTTCTAGGGAGAACTGAGTAAAACCAGACTTAATAAGTGGGGGGCCCCTTCCTTTGTCTCCAGCCAGATGTTCCCCCTTGTACTGGGACTCCATCTGGTAGAGAGGAGACCCCAAGGCTCCTGAGGTCTTAGAAGCCCAGCTGGAGTAATGTCTAAGAATTCACTGACCTCCTTTGTAAAGGGCTTTCTGATTGACAGGCAAAAAGTTCTGTATAAGAGCTGGTATCTCCAGCTAAGGGTCCTGTATCGCACGCAGCACTACAGCTAAAAACTGAAAGCCCCTGCAGGAGAAATGCTAGAGAAATTCCAAGGCGATTGCAGCCACGGGGGCTTGTGTGGGCCAGCAAGGGCCGGGGTGGGCGTCAGGGAGGCCGCGGCAATTGGGGTGGGAGAGTAGAGGGGAAAGGCGGGAGACGTTGAAGGCACGGAGGGGAGGGATAAGGGAGGAGGCGAAGATGTGGGTCAGGTTCTGCGCCAGGCTGACTGAGGATGGTGATGGAGTCAGCTGTGCTAGAGAAGCGGGGCAGCCACAGAGCCCAGGTGTGTGACACGGCCCAGTCCTAGCCCGGGATGGGGCCCGTTGCTTGGAACCCAGTGACGCGCTGCTTGCAGCGCATCGCTCCGGCGGCTTTGCCGGCATGGTGAGGACGTGGCTGCGAGTCCCGCGAGAGCGTCGGCCAGATGTGGGGGCTGGGTGCGGCTTTGAGGCACCGGGCCAGGGAGCGGGGGTGGGGTGAGGAAGAGAGATGAGCTGGGGCGAACCCCGCTTTTCCCACGGCTCTTCCCCTGCAGGTTCCGCTATTGCAAGTGAAGGGGCCGCTGCTGGTGGTGCAGCTCCTGGAGACCACGCTGCTGTGTCTGGTCAACTACGCCAGGTGAGAGGCTCCGGGACACACAGCTTTGTGGATGTAGGGTCCCCAGGGCCCTGCTGCAACACACGCTGGGTGGGAGCTGTAGGATCCCCTGGGCACTGGGGCGATGCACTTGGTGGGGGTCCCTTGGGAGCGGCACGTGCTGGGTGGGGCTATAGGGGCCCCCGGGCACTGGGGCGATGCACTCGGTGGGGGTCCCTTGGGAGCGGCACGTGCTGGGTGGGGCTGTAGGGGCCCCCGGGGTGGCATGTGCTGGGTTGGGGGCTGTAGGGCCTGGGGCGGCACATGCTGGGTGTTAGATGAAGGGTTCCAGCCACTTGTGAACATTTCCTGCCCCCCACAAGGGCAGCGCAGGTGTCTGTGCGCTGATCCCCGGCTGCGTCTCTGCTCTTCCCGCTCCCATTGGCTGTGGTGCTCCAAAGTCTCCCGCATGTCCCCTCGGGTCTCCTCATCCATCTCGCCCTCCCTGCCCCTGACAGCTAGAGCCGTGTCCCTCTCCCCCACCGCACCGTCCTCGTCCTGACCCCCAGGTGGGCTGCCTGGTGCTTGGCTCCACATTACTCCCCCTGTAACTCAGATCCTCCAACCTGATCCGTCCGCAGCTCCAGTCAAGGCCCTCTGGCTCCCACATGGTCTGGTCAAACTGATCCGCCCACTGAGCCTCCCAGCATGTGTCCCTGTGTCATCTGCCCCTGTCAGCAGGGAGCTCATGGGCGTGGGGCCTGACCCTTCCTGGGCCTTGCTTGGTGTCCAGCCGGGGTCCGCGTTCAGGGAATATTTGGGTTTTTCCTTTTCCAGCCTTGTGGCCACTAACGCTACCCGGTTCCGCATGCTCGCTGGCCCAGACAAGAAGCTGCTGGAGTTGGGGCTGCGACGTGCCCAGGGCCCGGATGGGGGCCTTTCTGCATCCAAGTACTCCTACATAGGGGGTGAGCTTAGCCCAGGAGCCAGGTTGGCGTGCCAGCTCCTCGCAGCAGGGCATTCCCTGTCCCCTTTGCTCCTGTTCGGTCTGCATTCCCCTCGCCCACGTGCCCCTGATCTCTCCGTTCCAGGCTTCGATTGGACCAGCAACGTGCTGGCAGGGAAGCTGTATGGGATTCCGGTGCGGGGAACCGTGGCCCATTCCTACATCATGTCCTTCACGTCGCTGGCGGAGGTGCAGCCCCGGGTTCGTGTCCCTGCCCGGGGGAGAGGGGGGGGGGAATGTTGAGAATGGATTCGTTTAATAACTTTGCACGGCGATGAAAGGGGGCGGAGGCCTGTGCTGTAGTCTGGGGCTCTCGCCCCTTCTCTTAGGAGCTATTCAGCTTCAGTTCTCCCCACCCGGATGGTTCCATCCTGCTCCCCGTAGTTGTCCGCCTAACCGTGGTGTTAGTGCCTAGATGCTACCCTGACGCGTGCTATGGGAATGCACCGCTATCGATGCTCGGGTGATGGGCACGTCATCGGAGCACACTAGACCCTTGCAGAGCACCATTCCGCTGCCTCCTCGGAGCATTGCATGCTGGGATTTGTAGTGTCCCTGGGGCACCACCTGTGGATTGAAAAACCAACAGTGGTCACAGTCTTGCTAGCTTCACGCAGCTCAGGAACACCCCCTGGGCTCCTGGCAGCGGCCACCAGCCCCCTCAGTTTGGTCACTTGGACATAGCTGAATGGCCTTTGTGCATCATTATTGCCTGCATTTAGGAATTATCTCTACTGAGCTGCTGCTTGAGAGCCAGCAGGGGGCTGAGGAATCTCGAGATGTGTTTTTACAGGCCCTACCGAAAGCGGCCATTGTAGATGATGCGATTGGTACCATGGAGGTGCTGTTTCCCCTGCAGACCCTGAAGCCCCTGGACGGAGATGAGCCGGTGGATTTCCTGCCCCTTGCTGAGTCGTGGCTGAGGCGAGTGTGCCAGACGCTGCGGGTCCCCCACGACAGGGTGAACCACGGGGAGCTGGCTGCCTTCGTGTCATACGCCATCGCCTTCCCCCACAACTTCCAAGGGCTGGTGGACACTTACTCCATCATGGGGTGAGGAGCCGAGGGGCGGCGGTGGCCTTTTCCGAGCATGCTCGATGCTTCATGATTGTTGCACGGCACCTGGATTCCACGGTGACCGGTGTAAGTGATGTCCCATCGACTGCGGGAGCAGAGATGGTGAACGGGGTCAGATTGGGTCCAAATGGGCTGTGGTCTTATATATAAACTGTATGTGGGGTTAAGAAACCAGCAGGGGGGAGCAATGCCAGGGCAGCTGGTTAAATGCAGGATCTCTGAGACGATGTCTTAGAACCCAGCTGGGACCCCTCCCGTGTGTTCCGTCTCTTGTGCATGGCGTGCAGTCCTCCATTCCCACACGCTGGGGATAGGACAGCTCTGATGATGCTGCAGAGCCTCTGGTACTGACCGCCCCGGGGAGTCCCTCTCTCCTGCTCTCCTCTTTGTCCTTGCCTTGACCTGGATGTGGAACCTCGAATCGCCTCCTGCCCCTGACCTGAACACAGCCTGCTTGGCCTATCTCTGCCGCTCCGTGTCACGGAGGGCGGGGTTCCCAGGCCTTTTTGCCAGCCAGACCCATCCTCCTCCTTGCTGTTGGCAGGAGTGGCATCCCAAACTTCTGCGCCGTGGCGCTGGCGTTGAACCAGCTGGGATACCGCACGGTAGGGATTCGCGTGGACAGCGGAGACCTCGGCAAGCAGGCGAGGGAGATTCGCCAGGTGCTCCGGACCTGCAGTGCCGAGTGAGTGCCATGCTGCTAAGCAGACGCTATTACCCCTCTGCTGGGACACAGAGTCCTTTACCTAGACTTTGCCCGGGGGCCTCCTATGGGGGGGCAGTTACTGACCCTGGACGATGGCCCCTCCTTACTCGCCATGTGTATGAGTCAGATGAGTAGTCAGATCTTACCCAACCAAAAGGAGGGTCTGTCTGTCTGTCTCCTGGGCTGGATTTTCAAGAATTGGACCCCCTAACTGCCTTACCACGCCCAGCCCAGCCATAGTTTATAAGCGCTGCACGGCAGAGACAGCGCCTTTCTCTTATGTTTTAAAAGCATCCAGGAGATTTGGATGTTACCAAACCTAGTAATAAAAGATTAGGCTGACGATGATGGCACTGCAGGAGCAAGGGAGCTGGATTCCCTTATGGCTTATGTTTCACTAAGAATTGTTCACTGATTCCCGGTCACGGAGTCAAGTTCTCCGCCCTCAGTGGGACCCCATGAGAGACGATGGGGTTGCACAGATGCCACTGAAAGCAAAATTTGGCCTGCAGCCTCTTTGTGATCGGTGATGCTGCACAAACCCGAAAGAGCCCAGCTTGACTCTCAGATCCCTGGGGCAGTTTCCAGGGTGCCCAGGTGGCGGGGGGGGGCACTTTTATAAACTGAGCAAACTGTCCAGATTTCTGGCTGGGCTGAGAGCCGCGATGGGGACACACACACTCATCCACCCTCCGGGATTCAGATCTAGCAAAGTTTCAACCAACCTGTGCCGTAAGCTCAATGCTGGGGCACCTGTCCCTTGTAAGAATCCTGCAGCCCTTTATAGCGACTCACTTCCATTGTGTCCAGCTTCCAGGTTCCCTGGTTTGCGACCATCCCCATTGCCGTGAGCAATGACATCAGCGAAAGGAGCCTGGAGGAGTTAATGCAGGAGGTGAGATGGTCCTAGTTCTAACCGGCCTCTTGGAGGTGGTGTTTCAAGCTACAGCTTGTTTGGGAAACTGTCTAGGGGCTTGTCTACACATGACAATTAATCTGGACTAAGGCAGGGTGTGAATTTAAGTGGATTAACTATTCCTGATTAACTCCATGTGTAGTTGCTCTTATTCTGAATTAATTTAATCCATTTGAAAAATGGATTAAGCTAATTTGGAATAAGAGCATCCACACGTGGTGTTAATCAGGAATAGCTATTCTGGAATAACTGTGTGTGTAGACAAGCCTGAGGAGCGAAGAGACTGAATCTGCTGCCTTCAGACATGGGGGAACGGGAGGGTTCTTAGCAGGGCAGGTAGACAAACACTTGGGCACCTGGTTACCTACCGGCAAACAAGCCCTTAATCTGCGTGTTCCCATGAGCTGTCCAGGTGGGCATGTGCTGCTCCCTGATTGCGACCAGCCTGTGGCCTTCCCCACCATCAGGGAAGAACTTGTAGCTATGCAAGGTAAGAGAGATTAATCAGGCCTCTTGGTTCAGGGCATCAGTAGATTGCAGGACGTTCCCCATTGGCCAGCAGCGGCTTTGGGGTGGGAGTCTGCCATCCTCTGGAGCTTCAGGCTTTGCCACTGTCCACGACTACCAGGCTAGTGGCCCAAGGCTCTGCTCCCAAATGGGAACCGCTATTCCTGGCTGTGCCCTTCTGGGAACCCAATGGGGAGCCCTCTGGGGCCAGACATACCGTGTTCCTATTCAATGACCATGTTCCCAAAGATGGGGAACAGCCAGAGACCCTGTGAACACAGAAGGGAGGGCAGAGGTGGCTGGTCCAGGACTTGGGCAGGAAGATGATGGGGGTTCTGTCCCCTTCATCCGAGGGGTTTTCCTCAGCGGGGAGCTTCTCGCTATGGGGTGCTGCCTTTGTGAGCTGTGTCCCAGCCCCATGCCAGCTGGTGGAGGGAGGCTCTTCAGACAGCACAAGGGAGAAAGAATTGTCCAGTGGTTAGAGCAGGGCAGGGGGGTCTGGGACTCCTGGGTTTGACTCCCAGCTCTGCCACTGACTCATTGTGTGGCCTTTAGCATTGAACTCCCCCTGCCCAGGGGTGTTGTGGGGCTTGGCTGATGTCTGTAAAGAACTCGAGATCCTCAGAGGGAAGGTGCTAGCAAGGGGCAGAGGTTGTAATCTCTTCAGGGCAAGTTAGTACAGGACCTAGCGCAGTGGGGTCCTGGGCCAGGCAGGACTGAGGCTGCTAGACACTGCCGCGATGCAGCCAACAAGTAATAAGGGTAATACCAACTCCTTGTCATCTGTCTCCTCTTCTAGGGGAATGAAATTGACATGATCGGAATTGGGACCAATCTGGTGACGTGCCCGCTGCAGCCCTCCCTGGGCTGTGTTTACAAGGTAACCTCCTCGCTGGGATAGTCCAACAGGAGCTCATCCACAGCTCCGTTACTGTATACACACCCCCACCCCCACAACCCCACCCACTGGAGTTCAGTGCAAACCTAGCAATTGGACCAACCTGCAGCTTCTTGACGAAACTAGCAACAATGATATACTAGCCATTAAGGCTGCAATGCTTGTCTGGGTTTATTGGGTGATCGAGGGGGGTGTTGCCGTTTTCTCTCTTCCATTTTCGTTAATAGGGACTGGAAAGAGGCCCCGTGGCCCAGAGCTTAGAAAGGGGAACTGGGCGTCAGAGCTGGGCTCTCCTCCTAATTTTGCCATTGGCTCACTGTATGCAAAGTGTGATAGTATCAGCTGCTGTAGATGTTTGGATGAAAAGCTCTGTGTGAGTTCAGTGTTGTGATTCGCTGGAATTATTTTGGTGGATATCCTATTGACACGACTAAAGAGACACTGCCAGGTTAAAAATCATGGGCCTGATTCTCCTCATTTACATGGGTTTGAATCCAGAGTAAAGACCATAGTGCATCGGCCTGAAAGGTCCCTCCTGATCACTGGGTCCAGCTCCCTGCTATCACAGGCAACCCTCTCAGATAATCCCGTTCACAAATCTATCGATCTCCATTTTAAAAGCAGTTAGGTTCTTGGCCCCGTTACTCCTGTTGGCAGGCTGTTCCAAAGCCTCACTCCTCTGAAGATTAGAAACTTTCTTTTCATTTCCAGCCTCAGTTTATTCATAGCCAGTTTATGCCCAAGGCAGTGGAGTAATGCTAGGGTAAACTGAGAAAAGAATCAGGCGTATATATATATCTGTATATACACACACGCCCCTGTTCCGTCATTAACACTAGGTGATTAAAGCTGAAACCATTTATAAATTCTCGTTTACATTTTGCCTTTTATCCTGTTTGCTTCTGTATTGCACTGGCCTTGGGCTGCCGCTGGTGAGTGCGGGGGCGGGCCTGACCCCTTCCTCCAAGCGACAGGGCTGGGAGCTGGGGGAGCGGAGCGGGCTGGGGTCGGGTCGCTCTGCTTCCCGCTGCCATCAGTGAGTGCGGGGGGGCAGGCCCAACTCCTGCTGCCGGCACCAGGCCCCCCACTAATCCCCCGTGTTGCCCTGGGCCTCCTTGCCCTGCTGCTGCCCCCCCACAGCTCCTGCCCCCACGGCCCTGCAGCCCTTGAGCGTGCCCCCCCCCCCCCGCAGGGGGAGCAGTGTAGGGCACCACCGTAGGTAGGGACGGCCCTGCGTACAAGTGAGATCTCCTGTGCGGTAGGCACTGAGGAGTTTTTCATCTTTGCTCCTTCCTCCTGTAGCTGGTGAAGGTGAACGGCTGCCCCAAGCTGAAGCTGACTGAAGACGAAGAGAAGATGACCATCCCGGGGAGCAAGGTGGTGTACAGGCTCTCTGATGCCACTGGTGAGACATTGACCCAGTGCTCGCCCTGCAAAATGAGAACAACGTCCTGGGAATACAGACCTGGCTGTATAAAGATTGGTCCCCCAGAGACCTGAGACACCGGGTCTTAAACATACACAGCTCGCACGCCCGAGTCCTGGCTCTGGATTTAGGGGGGCAGGATTGGAGCTGGGATAGGTGGCCATCGCTTTGGGTCCCTGGTTTGAGTCTGGCCGTTACCACGTGGAACCGAATTGGCAACTAACGAAAGGGTCTCTTTAAAACTCCCCATCAACCATACTAACCCCCTTGCTGGCAGTCCCAGCAGAATGCCCAGGATCGACTGGCCCTTCCCCCTGGATGTGGGTCTTCCCTGCTCAGGGCTGAGAGTACGGTGCTGCAGGGAAGCCTGCCTTGCTAGCCAGGCTGTGCCTGCTCTGTGGACTAAGAACATCAGCCTCCAGGGACGTTGACCAAAGTGGAACAGCTCCCGAGCTCAGCGTTTCCCCGTCGCAGCCCAGATCTAACCTAGACGCCTGCGTGTTTCCCTCTGCCCTTGGGGCTAGGGCTCCCGTTCCCTAGGGGAATTCTGCTGCGCTGGGATTTCTCCCAGCACTCTGCTGGCCAGGGTAAAGTCCTCTGGCTTCTCAGCAGCCCAGCAGCAACCCCTCCTCTCTCCCTGCCCCCTGGGCTGAGCAGCCCCTGTCTTTGCTGTTTGCTCAGTTTCTAAAAGCACCAGGTGTTCCCGGAGCCTGTGGCTGAGGGCAGCTGTAGGTGTGGGATCCCCAGAGGCTCGTCCGGAAAAACTGCTGTTCCCGGCTCGTGTTCTGCCTCCCAGAGCTGGGACCATTGACCTTTGCAGCAATGTAGCCCCTTCCCCCCCCCCACCTGAATGAGGAGATCCTGCAACATCCCCTGCTTATAACCTCTCTCCCCCATGGCTCAGCCGTGCGCCTGCCAGGGAGATTGGCTCACATTCAGACTGTGGGCACCGGCTGATGAAGCCACGGTCTCGGTCTGGATCTAAACTGGCACAGCTCCCCGACGAGGGGCAGCATTGCTCTGAACCCCAGCGCGCTCCCACCCCTAACCCGGGCGGCTAACGTCTGCCTCCGATTCCTGGCAGGTCTTGCCTTTATGGATCTCATGGCATTGGAGGAGGAGCCCTCACCCAGGGCAGGGCAGGAGGTGGCTGTCCGCCTGCTGGGGAGGAGTGAGGAGGCCAGGAGGGTGACTCCCACGGCCGTGGAAATCCTGCACCGCACTTACTTTAAAGATGGACAGGTCAGAAAAGGCATGCGCCCCTCCCTCCTTGCAAGCCACCGGGCTGCTGCGGCTTTGACCGTGTTGCAAGCTTGTCTCTCGGCCTAGCTGATTTCTCGGCTCCCCTGCCGCCGTGACTCCTCCAGCTGTGATCCCATTGACACTCCGGTGCTAAGCAGGCTGCCTCTTAGGCCAGTACTTGAATGAGAACCCTCTAGAGAAGTCTTAGAGTAGTGCAGGGTGGTGGCGCTGTTTCCTTCAAATCAGTACAGCCCCAGCAAGATATTAGGGGTGCTGTATCATCTGTCAGAGGGGGGAGAAAACCAAGGTACTGTCTGCTTGGCACAAATGGCAGGAGTCCAGGGGTTAAACCTGGGTGTTCACATTACCTTCACCTAGACCCCCCACCTCTCCATTTTCAACTGAGTGTCATAATCGCTTCCTGTCCTACGCTGTTGGGTAGTGTTGCTTTGCGCGGTCAGACAGCTGCCACCTTCCACCCCAGAAGTGGCTGCTTTTGGATGGGAAGCTGTCTCTAGAGTTCCTACAGAGAGTAAACATCCGAATAGGCCTTTGGGAGTCATCTGGATGAAAGGGAGAGTGCAGGAAAGTCAACAGCTCAGTCCACTCTCCTCCTGGCTCGTGAGCTGCGTCTCTGGCAGCACCCAGGCTGTTCCCAGTGGGCAGTGGTTCTGCTGATCAGGAATCGGGTGCCCTGGGGAACTGCGAATATGTTTGAATCTTGTGTGTATTGGTTTTCTGGCTGTTGAGAGCCTTGCAGGCAAACTGAGCCGACTGGCCCCTACTGAGCTGTGCGTAGGGCCTTCTTCACAGCAGATCCCATGCTCTGGTTTGGAAGGCAGCACATGTTTGGGGGAAGGCAGGTGACCTCTTCTTTGTGGGAGGATAGCAGCCAGGCAAAAGTGGCTCAGTGGGATGCCCCAGCTAGGACTTCCTCGTTAGCAGCACAGCTTAGGGGGTTTGTTCATGACTCACTTTCCGCAGCATCTATGCTGTTGGTAGGTTTAGTGCTGGGTTCTCTCTTCTGCTCTGCCTCTGGCTTGCTGGGTGACCTTGGGCAAGTCACGTCCCTTCGCTGTGCCTCAGTTTCCCCCCTAAGTGGGGATAATACCTTCTTGGGGGGGAGGGGCTTTGAGAATTAATGTGTACGAGGCGCTTTACACTTACCGCTTCTTATCGTGCCATTGCAGTGTCGTAACATTCAATCTTAGATGTGGGGAGAAGCAAACCCCAGCTCTGAACTCCCCCAGACTCAGCCTCATCTTGGAGCCAGACCCCTGTTCTGCTCAGGCCCAGCTCTTGCTTTTAATACAAACCTTTGTCCTTCTGTCCTCCTCCCCCCCCTTCCAAGCAGGTTTGCCAGGCTCTTCCCAGCCTGCTGGAAATCAAGAGCCACGCGCACGCCTCTTTGAGCACGCTCAGCCCTGCGCACAAGAGACTCCAGGACCCGGAGCCTTACCAGGTACGTGAGCCAACTGGCTGTGCACAGGCCATCGCCAACGGCAGGGCGTTCTTGAGCTGAGCTCTTCCACCTCAACCTGGGATCACGTCTTGCAGGGGCAGGACTGATGAGTACTTCCAAGGAGCACCCAGGGGCTCCAGGTGGTGCTCTTCCTTCTGACCCTGCTGTCCATGCAATACTCGAGAGGGCTACGCGTCAGGGAGCGACGTGAGTGGCTGAGTAGATGTTCTCTCCTGTCAGTGCTCTCTGTAATGCCCTCTTGCAGCACTAGGGGGCGATGTGCTGCCCCCTTTCAATGATGCACCCCTGGGCGGTGTGCCTCTGCAGTGGCATCTTTCAGAGGGGAAGTAAAACTGAGGTCCTGACAACCTGTGATCATTAAAGACCCCCTGGCACATTTTGCAGGAGTTAATCCTGGCTGCATTCTCCATTCTGTCTCCCTAAACACGCTTTGCAGTTTCAGCTCGTGCAGGATTTCTTCTGCATAGTACTGTTAAATGTGCTGTTAAATGGCTTTCCCGTTCCACTGCAGAGGTGGCTGCATTTCGCTGGGGGATGAAATGTTTCCTGGCTAGAGTGTGTTCATTGCTTTGTGATGAGAGCCACCATGGAGGCGCCCGTTCTGATTATATATCCGACCTTTTCCTTCTGTTCTTCTCTGCCCATCGTCTGGGGCCTCTGACAAGTCGGGAGCCTTCATCCCAATCATACAAGGCTCTGTCCCTCACAGCCTGTGATGGGACAATAAGAGAACAAGAGCGGCATCTTACATCGAACCACTGACCGGTCTCCTCCCGTCTCCCCCTGTTCGCAGGTTGCTGTGACTGACAAGCTGCACTTGCTCCTCCATGACCTGCGTCGATCCAGCCGGTGAGCTGCCCTGCCTGCATCGTCCCGTCCAGCAGCAAACTGCACCTGCGCAAGCCCGAATTAACCTGCACAAAGACCTGGCCGCTATTAGGGCCTGGGCGTTTCTATTTCATTGTCTAATCCTTTTGGAATGATGGTTTTGCTGTGCAGGGCAGTAGCTACAGGGCAGTCCAGCTCCAACAGGTATGGCAAACATCCCCAGACAGGACCCGCGCAGACGGGAAGGAGATTTTTCGGATCCGATTTGAAATGCAAGGGGAGGCGTTGATGGGGGCAGAGATCCAGCAAGGCTCTGCCTAGTTTTACTCTACTAACAGTGGGGCTTCAGTGTTGGGATCTGCAGCTGTCCTCGGGTGCTGTTCTTCCGCCGTCTCTACCGTGTGTTTTGGAAAGGCGTATCTCCTTATGTTGTCCCTCCCAGAGTTTTTCTGTGAAAACGGCACTTTCCTCAATAGACCTGATCGCTGCGTGTCTTTGGAGTCGCACCTTCTGACTTTAATGCCTAAAATAAGGGGGTGTTTGTAGTGCAGAGCCATCCCAGCTATGGGAGTATGAGCTGGATTCTATTCCGGGCTCCTGCGTCATGAACAGAGTTGTTTAAGAAACAGCAGATTCATCCTAAGCAGAATCAAACTCTCATCACAGACATTGATTAGGAAATTCTCTGCTTAAAGTCTAGGGCTATTAATTCTCTTTAGCTTATAGCTAATTTGTAGGCTCTCAGTAATTGTATCGGATCAGGACTTGTTCTGTATCCTGTCCAATGGTGGCCAGTGCCAGCTGCTTCCGAGGAGGTACAAGAAACCCCATGGGCTGCATCTAAACTGGGGGAATTTATGATCTAATCCTGAAATGAGCTGTGGCCAGGGGGCTCCTAGTGGGGTTCTGCACAGAGCTCCTTGCAGGAGCAGCAGTTTGATCTTCAGTTGTAAGTTTAAGAATACAAACCGACCTCTTACAGATGGATCTTTGAGTATGACTCAAACCCGTTATTTCTCCCAATCCCGCTTTGTCTGCAGATCCCAGGAGAGGTCTTGCAGGGTCTTCAGAAACACAAGTACAGTGTAAACGGCATAGAGGCAAGTGATTGGAGCCCCACAATCTGCTTTGTGGCGCTTTCATGAAATCGCTCTCTAAACATGTGATGGAAACGCTTCCCCTGCAGCGATTGACAAACCATTAAATGTTTGGATTGCAAAGGCCCCGTTGTGCTGCACAAAAGAAGGAGAGATGTGGCCCCTGCTCTGAAGAACGTACCCAAAGTTAGGGTGTGAAAGCTAGTGTGTGAAACCAGAAAGAGAGAGAAATGAACCGGTTAGCTTGTTTTCACTGTCCAGGTTGAGAGAAGTACAAAAAGGTAAAGGAATTTTGAATAGTGAGGGTAACTGACCATCAGGGATGAGGTGGATTCTCCGTTACTTGGAGTCTTTAAATCAAGGCTGAATGGCTTTCTAGAAGCTGTAGCGCAATCAAAAGCTCTGGGCTGGCTGCGGGAATCACTGCATCAGGGTCTGTGACCTGTGCTATGCAAGAAGTCAGACTAGATGATCGTAATGGCCTCTTGTGGCCTTCAAATCTATGGATCTTTGAACGTTTCTTTACATGTTTATCCTCTCAGGTGCGTTTAATAGCGCAGAGGTCGGTTTGTTTTCAGAATCGTATTTGTAACCTGACTCTTGTATTGAAAAGTTATTCCCAACTTTCTGGGGCAGTTTCTGTTCAACAGCAGAGATCAAACTTAGCGTCTTCGTCGCTTCCCTGGAACATTCACGCACATTCTGGATGAAGAGTTTCCTCTTTAGAAAAGAAAAGAAAACACCACTTGCCTTAAACCGAATACATGTTAAAAATAACAGATCTGCCCCCTGCCCTAGGGGAACAGAGGCTGGTTCTCTCCAGTCCCACACGGGGGAGAAGTCGGAACCTGGCTGGTTTTAGATGTCTTTCCCAACGTTCAGTTTAATGAAGATAGCAATGGGTGCAGCAGGGGGTTGGCTGGAGGAGGGGGGTCGGCCAGTTTGATGTCTGTTCTCTGTGGAGTAGCGATGGCAGGAACATCTCTGTAAAGAACCCAGGAATCGCGTGGCCCCTGCTGTGGGGTTTGTAATGGCTCTGTGACACTCTCCTTAGGGAGTCCAGGACTGTAAGCCACGCTGGTATCCTTCTGCCTCTGCAAGAGAGAGCTTGGCTGGAGCTTAACCTGTGTGACAGCCCCTGCCACACCGGTCTGTCCACCTACAGTCTAAACCACGCCTCGCAGGTACCATTCAGTGAATGCTCTCCTCCACCCTCACACTCTCTCTCTTTCACTGGGCTGGGGTAGGGGTTTGGGAGGGGGTGTGGGCTCTGGCCTGGGGCTAAGGGGTTTGCAGTGTGGGAGGGGGCTCTGGGCTGAGCCTGGGGCAGGGAATGGGGGTGCAAGCTCTAGGAGGGAGTTTGGGTGCAGGAGGAGGCTCTGGGCTGGGGCAGAGTGTTGGGGTGTAGGAGGGGGTACAGGGTGCTGGCTCTGGGAGTGGGAGTCAGGGCTGGGGCTTGGGGTGCAGGAGGAGGTATGGGGTGCTGGCTCTGGGGTGGGGGGGCAGGGGGTTGGGGTGCAGAAGGGGCTTTGGGGTGCTGGCTCCCGGAGAGGGATGGGGGTTAGGGTGCGGTCTCCTGCCGGGCAGCATTTACCTCCGGTGGCCCCTGGATGGTGGCACAGCGTGGCTGCTGCTAAGGCAGGCTCCCTGCCTACCCCAGCCCCACACCGCTCCTGGAAGGGGCCAACATGCCCCTGCGGCCCCGGGGGGGAGGGAGGGGGATGTGGCTCCGCTTGCTGCCACTCTCTGCCAGCACCGCCCCTGCAGCTCCCATTGGCCACAGCTCCCTGTTCCTGGCCAATAGGAGCTGTGGGGGTGGTGCTTGCAGGCAGGAGCAGCGTGCAGAAGGAGGCCCCCCACTCCCGGGGGCCATGCTGCCTGCTTCTGGGAGCCCCGTGGGGTTGGGGCAGGCAGGGAGCCTGCCTTAGCAGCAGCCACGCTACACCGCCAGAGATGGCAATCGACTGGGAGAGCCTCTAGGATCGACCACCACTGGGCTAGAGGGTCCAACATTCACAGAAGCAGAGGGTGCTGACCCCTATATCCCTGAGGGTATGTCTCCACTTGGCATATGAGCCTTGGGCTAAGAGGCTGTTTAATTGTGGTGTAGATGTTCAGGCTGGAGCCTGGGCTCTAGGACCCTCCCGGCTTGCAGGGCCCCAGCCAGAGCCTGAACGTCTACACTGCAATTAAACAGCCCCTTAGCCTGTTGAATGACCATGTAGACATGCCCTAAGTGCTGGATAACGAAGGGGTCTCTCCCCTTATAGTCTGGTAGCCCTTTGAAATGTTTGAAGTGTATCCCCAGATAAAGTTAGTCTCCCCTGCTGGTGTGCAGATGCCATGCTGCCTTCCTCAGCCTCTTGTGAATTAGCTCTTTCGATTGGTTTGATCATGGTGTTTACTGTAGATGTACTTTCCTTGTCTCTGGCTTATGAACTTAACCCTGGCAGACGGGTACATCCACATTCCCTTGTCTAGGACAAACTTCTTTATTTGCTCTACTCAGATTGCTTGGTCTGACTCTGTGTTAGGAACCTGTTTCCAGCACATGTACATACCTCTTTACACACAAGTGCTGGGGCTGCAGCACCCCCCTCTGGCTTGAAGTGGTTGTGACGTTGTGCAGTCTATATGGTTTTATAAAAACTTGATAATAAGTCAATATAATGTAACTGGGATAGTTTTAGAGAAAATATGGTAATAAGTGAATATAACGTAACTGGGATATGCTTCATGCAAAAGGTCTCTTGTAAGGTATCATTACAAAGCTTATAATCTACTGAGTGTGATCATCCGATTTGTATAAATGTACCACTCTTGTATCTAAAACTAGAAATATAAAATGTAACTCTGAGGGCCTATTGTAATTATGTAAAGTGTGGGCCATTAATGATGGTTTGGAATCTTGATGACTCCCATTAACCAGGACCATTGTCTGCAGATGGTTGTGTTTACCTGTGAGTCTTCCTGTATATGTGTGTGCTGGCAAGTGGGCAATGAAGTCTTGCAGTGACATGTGATCATGTCACCGGAACTGGAATCCATCTTTAACCTGGTGCTTTTCCAGTGAGGGGGGGGTGGAAACCCAGAGGGACAAAGGGTTCCCGCCTTATGCAAAAGATATATAAAGGGGTGGAAGAGAGCAGAGGGGGAGAGGAGCCATCATGAAGAATCCCCTAGCTATCACCTGAGCTGGAACAAGAGCTGTACCAGGGGAAAGAATTGTGCCCAGGCCTGGAAGGGGTCCAGTCTGAGAAAAACTTACTGAAGCATCTCTGAGGGTGAGATTATCTGTATTCAGTTTGATTAGACATAGATTTGCGCATTTTATTTTATTTTGCTTGGTGACTTACTTTGTTCTGTCTGTTACTACTTGGAACCACTTAAATCCTACTGTCTGTATTTAATAAAATCACTTTTTATTTAGTAATTAACTCAGAGTATGTATTAATACCTGGGGGAGCAAACAACTGTGCATATCTCTCTATCAGTGTTATAGAGGGCGAACAATTTGAGTTTGCTCTGCATAAGCTTTATGCAGGGTAAAACGGATTTATTTGGGTTTAGACCCCATTGGGAGTTGGGCATCTGAGTGCTAAAGACAAGCACACTCCTGTGAGTTGTTTTCAGGTAAACTTGCAGCTTTGGGGCAAGTGATTCAGACCCTGGGTCGGTGTTGGAGCAGACAGGAGTGTCTGGCTCAGCAAGACAGGGTGCTGGAGTTCTGAGCTGGCAGGGAAAACAGGAGCAGGGGTAGTCTTTGCACATCGGGTGGCAGCTCCCAAGGGGGTTTCTGTGATCCAACCCGTCACAGTGGTTTCCATCATATCCAGGGTTTACACTTTGGTTCAGTGGCCAGCATGTTACCACTTCTCATATGATACCTTACGAGGCGCAGGTTGGCTAAATATTCTGACAACACTGTGTTGGGTGCACCCTTTGCCAGTTGGCTGTTAGGGTCACAGGTTCCTGTTTGACTCTTCACTGTTTACAACGCACTCAGCCACTGGAAAATAAAATGTCCTTCCTTATTGTGTTTTGCATCCTCCTTTTCCATGGGGGGTGGAGGTGGCCACTGGGGGTTCTATGCTTGGGGAGCTGTTGTAGGTGCGACAGCACCTCATGTGGATGAGACCGGCAGTCCGTTGGGGCCATGTGTGCACCCCAGACTGCATGCTCTTGAACGAGGGCATAAAGGGTGGAACGGCCCCAACCCTCCCTCTGTTCTCTCTTATCGCCCATGGCAGTCAGATAGAACTTGGTGAGTGTCCGATCTCTAGTACTTCCACATAGCTATCAACCAGCCGCCCCAGAAAGTGCCTCAGATTCACAGTGAGGCCCAAGCCTTACCGGAGCAGGGTTCTGCCCTTCAGACACTGCATGGCATGGAAAGTATTCACCAAATGCCTGGTTGTGCGTTTAAGGAGGTACAAAATCCACATCTACCTGACTTGCCGGTCAGAGGCAGGTCCCAGGAGACCACAGCCTATGTCCTCTCCCTCTTCTAAGCAGGACTCATCATGAGCTATGATCCACTCCCGATTGGCAGGAGCATACCTCCCAGGGCCAGGTTCTAGCCTCTCCAATCGCAAACTCCCGAAAATTAAATCCAACAATGGTGTGTACGAGTCTGGGACTTAGGCCGCATGCTGGTGTGTACATATGGGACACCGCTTGCCAGACTTCACATGTGGCTCTTACTGTGTGTTTCCCATGCTCATGTCACACAAACAAGAGCGTCATAGGACCACCTCAGACCCCGTGAAAGCTCATGTAGTGGCTAGACCCAGAGAATGTACAAAAAGGGAGGCTGTTCTCTTATCCCCCATTCCGTGCTGACCCTTGTCACAGACACTGCAGGGACTGGTTGAGATGCCCATCTGAACCATGCTGAATTAACATTTTAACTCTCAAGGTCCATCTTGTAGCAATATTGGCATTTCACACACTCATACAATTGAATTCTATCTTTATAGAATCATAGAATATCAGGATTGGAAGGGACCTCAGGAGGTCATCTAGTCCAACCCCCTGCTCAAAGCAGGACCAATCCCCAGACAGACTTTTGCCCCAAATTGCCCCCTCAAGGATTGAACTCACAAACCTGGGTTTAGCAGGTCCATGCTCAAACCACCGAGCTCCCACCCCCGCCCAACTGAGCAATTACCCTGCCTGCCAGTCTTGAAGCAGCATTCAACGCTAGGAGAAAAGAAGCTAAGTACTTTGAACACGGCCAGAGTGGTTTTTACCCACGAAAGCTTATGCCCAAATAAATCTGTCTGTCTTTAAGGTGCCACCAGACTCCTTGTTGTTTTTGTAGATACAGACTAACACGGCTACCCCCGATACTTGAGAGTTTGCTCTGTTTCCTTAACTTCACCACACCATCTCATCACAGAGCCTCTCTAAGTCCATCTCACGGGGCATTTCCCCTGCTATCAGATAGCTGCCAAGTCTCCCCCTCTGAGTGACAAGGTGGGCTCCAGCAGCAGCATCTCTTGCCTGCATCGGGTAGGTGCGAGTCTCTGCTAGCTGCACTGTGGAGCACTTCACTGCCTGTTGTTCAACGTTATGCTGATGTGGTAGCCAGGTCAGATGCCAAGGTCAGGAGAGCAGCACGGTCCAGGAGAACAGTACTTCGATCCCTGTTTGACTGACAGCTGAAACGCCTCTCGCCCACCATCCAGAGAGGATGCTACTTTCCAGTCGCCTCGATCAGAAGCCACACGGCAACAGGGAACTGCTACTCGCCCCACAGCAACTGTGGTTCTCCGGGATGTTGTAGTCCATGGGGATCCCCCAACCCAGCCTCCATTTGGAGACCTTGGCAACATGGGCTTTGAATTGTGAGGGAACTGAGGGAGGTCTGGCCGCCCTGCCCGTTATGCCCTCTTGTGGGAGCATGAGGAGGCACGGGGGCATGTGTGGCCTGGATGGACACCGCTATCACCTCAGTGGTGGATTAGCCACTGGGACAACTGGACAATTGGAGGGCCCCAGCCAATTGGGGGGTCCTGGAAAAATGGGCGTGCCCAGACCTGCTCCACCCACCTACCTGGCGCTCCTGTTGGGGAGCGGGGTCGGGGTGCTGGGGCTGTCCCACTCTGCCCGCCCAGTGCTCCTGTCAGGGATCGGGGAAGCCCCCGACCCCG